AGCTTTAATAGCTATTTGAGAAGGGTTTGTACCGCCTTCCCTCTACTGGTCCTTTTAACATCAAGTTCGACATGCCATTAATTTATATATACTAAAAGCGCAGGTTATTTTAAGTTTATCTAAGATTCCATATCTAGGATTATAGGCTATAGTCCTATAAGGTCTATAATACTAACCTAACCTATAAACAAAACTATAAGTAATGATATTAGTATAATGTTTTTGTGCAAACTATAATAATTAAATCAGAATTCGCATAATGTCTTAGTATGCTATTTTTTTATAATATTTGCAATAGGTCTAACAAGATCTTTATGAATACTAAGGTCATAAGATCTAAGTGCGCCTCGATTCCCTTGACATATGTTGCCATTGATATCTAATATGCTTAATTATAAAATTATATTTTATTTTATTTAAGTTTTAATCACAATATATATTGTATTTAATTTAGCCTGATTTTATTTCAATTGTATAAATTTAAAAAAGTAATAAAACAATAAAACGATGCAAGAAGTCGTGAAAAACAATATGAAGCAAATTATTGAGCGCTTCCAACTGTTACTAACTATGAGGAGGCTACTGCTGTGCAAAATATACTATAAACCTTGAATAGCAAAAATTTTGCTAAAATGCTAAAGTACAACATTGGCTGATTTTGTTTATAAAATTTTATGATAAATAATTAATAATAAAATTTGAAAAACAAAAACTAAAAATTATTAAAAATCGCAATATCACAATAGGTCAGCAAAAAGGTCAGCCCGCCATATAGCGGGAAGCGTACATTTGTACAAACCAACTTCAACTTCTACTTCAACTTCAAGTTGAAATTGAAATTAAAATTTTGTATCTTTTGTTGTATGATTTGTAATCATCGTACCTCAATAGCTACGCATGTGTAACTCAAATATATTTAATAAAAATTTTTATGATAAAAAAAATTGATTTTTTTTTTTGATTTTGCTTTTTTTATGCCGCTACTGTAAACAGCTACTGTGTGCGGTTAATTTTTGTATCTCTTAATTTTATTTATGACTTATAAGCACTCGCACTCGCACTCGCACTTAACTTCTTTTGTTAATTCATCAAATTTGTTACAACAAAAGAGTGGAAACTAATCACAAAGCGCTTTTTACAAAAGAAATAATAAAAAAGTAACATTGTAACAATTGGAAACTAAACGTACGGACAGACAGCACGACAGGCAGTCACAGTTACCTCCCATTTTTAAGAGGCGCAACATTGTTATAATAGATAGATGGATAGATAATTTAAAAGTGAGCGGCGGTTGTGCTGTGCGTCTGACAAAGTCAGTGAAGTCTACGACTTGAAGTCTGCGAATTGAAATTCGATTTAATTCCCAAATCTTGAAATGGAAAATGCTCGGAGTTTTGTTGCATTGTTGAAAAATCATAAACAAAACCGTGATTTGGTGTCAAGGGGCTAATTGATTTATGGGATTTTCATATATACATTAGCAATTGTATCTTATTATTGTATTGTTTGTTGTATATATGTGATATATATATTTTTTTCTTTTACAACTTTTTCCCAGAAACTCTATTTATACGGATTGTTAGTGATTTGAAAAAAAAAAAAAAAAAAAACAATAAAAATCACTACCAATCTTAGACAAATTATCTATAAAATTTTACACTGAATTATTAAGATAATAACACAAAATGGCAAATACGTGCCCAATTTAAATTAACTTGAATTAGGTTTATAATTAAATCTTTTAAATTAAATATGTTATGTTTTCATTATATAAAAAGCAAATAAATTATAAAAAAAAAATAAGTATATGTATATTGCTGCAGCTATGTTTACTTATCTTTCATTACTTTCACTTTCATTTTAAGCTATCGGAAATAAATTAATCGATCGCAAATTAGTAATTGGTTACATATTATTTATTATTATACATTTTTGGTTCGTAACATATAACACATAACATATAGATAATTAATAATAAATATATATAATGAGAAATACACTCTAATATAGTATATAATCTTCTTATTAATATTTAACAATGCCATTTTCAATATATTATTATTAAGTAGGAAGAAGTAGAAGTAGGAAGAGATTAAAAAAATTTAGGGGGTAGAGCACTTTGGCCAAAACTGTTGTCTTGTGCCTCTTAGGCCCATGCTATATAGAGTGTCACGGATACATCAAAATATGCTTTATCGAGCTATCATAAAAATGCATGTTTACTTTTGTACTTTATGGTTGTGCCTAAACATGGCTTTGATTGAATGGCTTGGACTGGCACTCATGGCCGAAATTAATGACCGGCATTTGTTTTTCTCTCTCATTTTCTGTTTTCAGTGCTCGCGATACTTTACATAACATGGACCTTATCGATCCTAACTGAACAGAATACCTTCTATCCTTTGCATAAAAGCTAGCATATCAGCTGTTGACTACTAACATCAAATGATTAAACAACTAAGCTTATTTAAATTAATTATTTAAATTTATATTTAATATCAATCACAATGGTATCACAATGGGCCTATGGGCCTAAGTGGATCCCCCTGGGATCGCCGGTTTAACCTAACCTAACCTAATATCAAAAAAATTCTTATATAAACTCTTTTTTTAAATATACAATTACAATCTCAATTTTTCAACAAAGTCATGTATTTTCATATAAAACAACATAATCTATAAATATCGCTTAGATTCAATTGATCATTCTATGAATCAAGCACAGGGTTACTCTTCTTTAGCGATTCCAAATGGAGCTAGACCGCGAACTGTAATGTGATATTAATGCTAATTTTTTGTATTGGCATTAAGTTTTGCACTGCTGCCAATATATATATATATAAATCCTTTAACTCCTAAGAGGAGCATAGGACCGCAACAAAGATCTTCCACTCGGTACGATTGTTGCCTAGTAGCTTCAACTCTCCCCAGCTTTTCCCAGCATGTGTGATATTTCCATATCAATTTGCCTTCTCCAAGTGTGAGCAGTTCTGATATTAAACTTTTAATGCAGTCCGACCATCACTAAACTCTTGTTGCAGTACTATCACATATAAATTTGTAATAGACATTATATAGGATGTTAACTCTTCAAGCGAATCAAAAAAGTTGCTTAAACTTCCATTCTAATAGAAACATCTTTCAAATTGTGGTGCCTGCTAAATATTTTAACCGTGTTCATGTTAATGCAGGACAGTATCGTAAAATATGTTTCAGACAATACTTCGTTCTCAACCCTATCTGTATTTCATGTATACAACGTTATTGGTAATTACTATCTTGTATCTACTTCTGGTATGAATTAATTGTAGCTAGTGGAATATCTGTAATAGTTCTATAGTCCTACCGTGACAGCGCCGTAACAGTGGATGTATATTGTAGACCTACTTAATTAGCTAATAAAGTCGTTTTGATTTCATATTCTCAGAAAATTTCTATAAAGGGTTGGTTAAAAGTTTTAGAACAAATCAAACGTATTAATAAGTGTAAATATTTGGCCAATATCAGTGTTGGATCGTTGAGTAAATTAAAGATTAGAGCCCAGATAAGCTTAAGCTAAAACAAGTACTGCACTCTCCAGAAAACACCGGAAAACACAATCTACAACAGTTTCGAAAGGGTAGTTTCAACTTGATTTCATGTCGTCCTATAATCCAATATCCCTTAAGAACAGATATTAAGATTATTTCAATTTATTATATATTAGTCATGTTTTTTTATCAGACCCCTGCTGATAATATTAAACCAATTTCTAGTATTAGACCAATTCTAATTTGTTATGATTTAATATAGGAATTAACTTAAACTTTGCTAGAACTAAATTATTGCTGTTGTTGTGACATGGGTACTTTTACTAATTTTTTCGATGACAAGAGTTACCGTGACAGTCACTTCTGCAATCAGAACAAAATTGTAGTCTGGTTCAGTACAAATTCGAAGAAAAAAATCAATATCTTTTATATAGTGCAATAATAATCTGTAAACTATCAATTTAAAAAATGTGGATGGGATAAAATATTTAACATATTTCTAGTTCATTATATCTCTAAACTTGTTACCATTATCATTTATGTATAATCTCTCATTTCAATTAACTTAACTTAAAGCACGTGTAAATAACTGTAGAATAGATACATATATAATATATATGTGCATATATGCATTTATACTTATATATGTAAGTTTAATAACTTAAATTCCGTTATAACTTCCTGTATAATTTATTTACTGAAATAAGATTTCTTAAATAAGATTTGATTTCATCATTCTTTTGGTATGATTATCTATATTTGTTTGTATTAAAGTCTTTCAAAATAGCTTCACAATTCTCGGTTAAAATCTCGTAGGTTCATAAAATTTATTAATAAAAGATTAACATTTTCTCTTTCTGTGCATTTTTGCTGTTTATATGCAAAACAAATTTAACCGTTCATTTTACAAAAATCGTAAAAAAAATTAAATAAAAACAAATCATTAAAAATAATTAATTTTATAGCCTTTGGCTTAACAAGAACAAGAAAACATGTTTTAATATTTTTAACAAAACCTCTAAACTAAACAGAATAACGCAGAAACTATCAACTTTATTAATAATTTTTGCAAATTTATTTTCTTTGGCACTTTTTTTTTAACCCTAAATCCTCCAAAGCGGCTTAAACCACACAATTAAACCCAAACAATTAACCAAGTTTTAAATGAATTTAAAATGTGGTCAGTCAGAAGAGTTTTATTTATTTTTTGTATATATTATTTTTAATTTGTTTTTCATATATTTTATTTGTTTTTCTTGTTTTTTATGTTAACTATAAATGCTTGAAATGAACTTCCTCTTTGCATATATCAACCTTAAATGTGTAATAAATTGTACATGTAAATGAACTTCACAATGCGCTTCTACTGCAAATTTTTATATACATTTGCGTACTGAAACATTTACTGCCACACCTCAACCACAACCACAACCTCAACCACAACCACAACCACAACTTACTCTTAAGTAGATTTGTACCAAGAAACAGTGAAACGTTTTACACGTTCCTCGCTATCACCAGAGATGGATCGATTCTCGCCGTCGCGTATGTCTACGAAATCAGCATCTACATCCCAGAAATCTTGTAAGTTTTGTCATTGTACGTCATGTGCCATTTGTCTCATTGCAGTTGCATGTCATTCATATCCTTTGTTATTACAATTTTTTCTTATTTTGTTTTTTGTTTTTTGTTTGTATTTGTATTTGTATTTTTTATTAATAAACTTTGTGTTTTTTATGTTTGTTTTTTGTCTTTTAATTTTTTTTATATATTATGTTTATATCACAAAAGACGATCTGTATCTCGAAGCCACCGGTCGCAGACGCAGCTCAGGTAAGCAGCACAATAACAGACCGTACAAATTCTGCAGATGATTCTCTGTAGAAGCCAAGCTACTACTCTAACTTTTTGCATAACCCAGTCAAATAATCTCTATAAGCGCAGATATTAATTCCAAAATAATATATAGAATAAATCTCAAATATTATATAAAATATATATGTCAAATGTATATAAGAAATATATGATATATATAATATTTGTTACCAATATACAATATTATTTTTGCGCTATTTGACTAACATATTAACAATTTGAATTATAATTTTTATTTTATATTTAACTCAAACCACTTGCGCAGGTGGGTTCATTCCACACCACACAACTTTCAATATAATTTAACATTTTTGTGCCATAGACACTGTGTCATTGATATTGGCTGATTTACATTGGCATAAGAAACTATGCCACTTGCCATTGCCTTAATTGGTCAGAATGCATAAACTCAGCACAATATTTCTCAAAAGTCAGCTTGGCAAAAGTTATCTACTATATATTATATTGAATAACTTAAAAAATATCATGTGGGTGTTGTGGTAACACTTTTTATGCAGTTTACACCCTCAACTATGCAACTACTCCAATATTTATGTTAACAGGCTACTGACTTTTGACAGACAATTTTTAATCAATTGCATATTAATTATCTTGTAAAAATATTTAAAATCACTTAAAGAATAAAAATACTTATTACTTAAGTTTATCACAATACAAGTAATCACACTATTTTGATTTCCCCGGATATGTTTTATTACTAACGGATATTAGCTCGAGTCCACTGCTCGATATATCGAAGTTTAAAGTAGTAAACTATTTATTGTACAAACAATCCTAGATCCTTAGTATTGCCTGTATAACCTTACCTAAACTACACTAACAAAAAACTATTGTATTTACTCGGTTTGAGAACGGCATATCATGGTTCACCCATGATATAAGGCACCGAGTCAAGTACACTATTTTATGGAAGTCCATTATTGGTGCGATAAAGATGTGAAGCTTCGCGTTGATATTGCACAAAAAAGTATAGATTACTAAGTTATAAATTTAGAATCAAAAAATTTAGCATTGGAAGTAACTTCTTAATTTTGTAAATAATACTAAGATGTCAAACCCTCACAAAACATTGAAGTGAGGAATTTCTCTATTTTAATCTATATAAATATATTTTTTATATATATTGATTTTATCACATTAAGATTAATTTCGTTGTTATTGCATTGATCCTGGATAGAAAAAAAGCATTTAAGTTATTTAAATGATCGGAACTGGTGGAGAAGAAGGATAATATAAAATAAGAAATAAAATGCAATATGAAAAGTGAGCAGTTAGTTTAAATAGGTTCAAGCCTGAGTTCGAGTATACTTGAATTGTTTAGTTTCATAAAGCTCAATTACGTTGAGATATTATCCATTACAATCCTGTGTAAACTTAATTTTTCTTTGATATTTGTTCTAAGATAATCTATTTACTAGCTATTCCTCTGTAGTTTCTTATATTTATATTTTTAATAATATTTTTAAACGCATTAATCCATTGCTTTCTTGGTCTTTCTTACAATTTGATTTTTAATTTTTTAGTCAAGAGGTTTTTCGAAAAATAGTGAACAACAACAACAAAAATTCTTTTTTATATTATTTTAATAAATTGAATTTTTGGCTGACCACACAGTTCTTTCGAGTATTGCCAAATACCCTTTATCAGTGGTTTTGGAATTATTTCTTATATTTAATTATTCGTAAGTAATTTTTTGAGACTGGAAGTACCAGGGATTGAACTCGTGCCCTGCCAAATTTGAAGCTCAGAGTCAGCGTGCCTTAACCAACTGAACCAAAGACATACTTGACTTGTATGTTCGCACTTTTTTCTGAAGTTTTGTTAATTTGCTGTAAAAGTATTTTATTAACAAATTCACTTGCTGTGTTTATTAGAACGAAATCATAAACCAGCTGTAGAATAATTGAATTAATAAATTATATTTTTATTTTAATTATTAAATTTCAATACTATTCTATTTGTAGAGGCATTATTTGTTGCATGATTTATATATTCTATCTTATGTATAGAACCTAATCTAGGTACGTAATACTGAGAAAGTCATGCTAATGTTACTCTACAAGTTTTTAGTTAATAAATAGATTTTATTTTACTTTTTCCTTTTCTAAGTGCTATCGTCGCCGTTAGCTTAATTTGCACCAGTCAACGTCCAATGCTGCAAATAATATTTTTTCAATAGTCATAATCATTCTTTTTCTACTACTCAAAACATACTGATAGAGAAATCGGTACCAATATTTTCACAAAAAAATAGCATTGTAAAACACAAAAATAAAATATTTTACCGGTAGTGCTAAATCCATGGACCGGCAGCGGTTTGACTAATGCATAAATTCTTAATTAATTTAACGTCGTCTTCATGTGCATAAATTGGGTCTGTGTGATATATTCGTAAAATCTAATCAAAAAAGTTGTATTAAAAATATAACTACAAATGTCAAAGCTTGAAAAAATTAATAAAAATAAAATATATAATTTTAAGCATTAGTAATAACGCGTGACATTAAAAGGTAGAAAGTAAACGAACTCGTTCGAAGTTTAAAATTCATAACTACTTATTCGTTAAGATAGAATTCGATAAGTGCATTTAAACATATTGTGGTTTAGATTTATTCATAAATACTTAAATTATAATTAAATTTTCTATCTCGTGTTTATTAATTTTAATTGTTTTTAATTATTACAACCATAAAATGGAATGCCTATCGTGCAAATTGATTGCATGCAAACTTATCATTATTTTATTAAATTTTACTTTTATTTTATTTATTCATTTACATATCTGCAACTTGTATCTCAGCATTTTATCTGCTTTGGAGCGTGAATGAATAAAAGTGTCAATAAAGCGCTTAATGTTGTCAAATTAATGAAGCCATTTCACATATTCAAGCCTACGACAACTTCACTAATGAAGCTTTTAATTATAATTTGAATGAATCTGAAATAAAATTTCAAAAATCAAATCATCAAATAAATTTTTAAGCTGTGGGCGTAATTAACCTTTTTTGCATTATTTAATAGAAGAAGTCATCAGGTTTTGTTGTTTTTTTTTTTATTTTAAGAGTTGTAATAATTTGCAAAAAAAAATGTTTTTTTTTGCATTTATTAATAAAGAAATCAGATATTATTTTTTTAATATTTAATACTGAAAAAGTGCATTACATTTACGTATTGCGGTGGTAATTAAAACTTAAAGATCATTCAATAAATAAATAAATGTCAATAAAAATGTAAATGTACACTGCATATGTGGGTTTTTGTTATAGTTTTATGTCAAAACAAATTTATAAAACTATTTATTTTATAAATTTTTAATGTCAATAAATATGAATAATATACATATGTAGGCTTCTAACTTTCAGCAATTTATATTATTAAATTCTTATCTATTTTACTACTCTGCACATATCGTTGCCTATTGTTACTCATACGCACTGAGGTTATAATGTTTCAAATAAACATTTATTATTATTTTACATATAAAGGAATAACAAAAATTTGATTCTTAAAGAATACACTGAACGTTTTGTTAACCCATTTGTGTAACTTAATGAAGTTCAGTGGTGTAATAATAATTTTCTTAGGTATAGTACTCAGTACACAATAGTAAAAATATCTCTTCATTTCATTTTTATTAGTACTTGAAGACTTATTTGTAATATATGAATATATAACGATGTTCTAAATTCTACTTACACAGAGCAATAATAGCATAATGACCTGATATCATTATATTTTATCTGTAATATGCATCACCCATATCCTTGAAACTAGGAGATATTCAAGAAATGGGGTCAGTTATTTTTTAATATAAATAGCTGCATCTATCTGTACAGCTATATGGTATAATAAAGTATATAATAATAAAGTATATATATAGTATATAGTATATAGAATTTTAAATGTATCTTCACATTCATTCTTGGAAGGCTGAAGAAAAATTTCATCCACCGAGCCCTACCACTTTCCGTTGAGCTAAGAATCGCATACACTTATTCAGAGCTATATATAATGCGCAATAATATCGTCATCTATAGCAAAACTTGATATACAAACTTCATTGTCAAGCTCAATATAATCATTAAGAATAGCATTGGTCCAGGCCTTGTTGAGTTATGCGCTTATCAACACATTTTTTGATTCATTTTTATATATAAGAAGACAAGAACATAAGCAGAATAGATGAGTTCGTGTGTTGTAATAAATTGTTGATAATTGTAAGTATGTTTATTAAATCCCCATGTCTTCCTTTGCAGATCATTATCTCCACTAACCAAGCGAACCACCCACTTTTTATATATTTGTCACCTTTAGGTTTCCACTGTCCCTTTAGATTATTTTTCAATCAAGTTTAAGAGTTTGAAACTCTCTGCCAAATATCGCAATCGGAGTTTTTTTTAGTGGATCCCAGAAGGGTGGCCAAAGTTCTTTGAAGGGGAGATACTTTGGTCACCCTAGCTGAACCCAACACAACAGGGTGACTGTTCTGTTCAGGAGATTATTTTGCTCACACTATAAAATAGGTAGGAACATAAAACTGTCACATTCAAAATTTTTTGACAGAACGAAGTCTGTCGGGTCCGCTAGTATATTATATTTATTCGAGTTATAGAGAAATTCGAGTAATAGAAGTTCGAGTTATGGAAGTCAAATTGTATGTAATTGTCTTCTAAAACTCTGTTGCTCTCTTTTTAGTTCGAGTTATAGAAGTTCAAGTTATGGAAGCTTGACTGTATTTTTTTTTTAAAAAGTTCAATTGTGAAAAATTTTAACTTGATCTTGCTCAATTGACTTTTTGGTTACGTGAAATTGAAACAAATTAAGTGAGGAATAACGAATAAAATTAAGCATTCCTCAGTTAAGAGTTAAAGCCTAAGATACATTTTAATAACCCTGTATAAAACAACTGAGAATACTGTATTTATTATAACAATTATAAAGCTTCAGATTCAGGGTTTGAGGAGGAGCGGTAATTGAAGAACATTAAATTATTTGTTGATTGAATTTAAAGTCAATGAAGTCAATTTCAAATATTAAGCTTTACTTTCATGGGAATATTAAGTTTCTTATGAATATTCATAAATATTATTTTATATTTTTATTTATGCAATTTGTAAGCTGACTGACGTTGGTGTAGATTTTAAGTAAATTGACTTAGCTTCGGCGTTTCCAAGCAATGCCGTGATTTTAGTTTCGCAAATTTGTGAATTGGCCATTGTTTAAAATGATTTTAGTTTTTGTAATATTATTAAAGTTTTTTATTTAATAATTTTTTTTTAAATTTTATTTTTATTTTAAAATGTGTGCACTCATTTCATGACAATTTACGCGTTTTGTTATAGTCTTCATGCTCGTTAAGCATTTTTGTTTTTTAAGTTTTTCTTTAAAAATTATAAATTATTAATGTCATAGATAATTTTTTTTTTTTTGCTGTTAATTTTCTGCATTAAAAATTCATTTTTCCAGTTGAGTTATCTGATGCATGCCTTCAGCAGTTATGTTGATGGCGAAATATGACATCACTTCATTTAAAATATAATTTTAAAATTTTTACTCTGTACATTTTAATGATTTCATATTTTTTTTATGACATACACTGTATAAACTGCATTTATTTATTTACTGACATTTTAGCGACTCAGCGATTGAATGTCAACTTTTAAGCTCTATCACTATGTGCTGTGTAGAACTGCCTTATATTTCTTGTTATTATGTTCTTATTATTTTAATTTGTTTTTACATAAACATTGAAAATATATATTATACACAGGCTTTATTTAGATTTTTCATTATACTCGTATAATGCTATTTTAGTTAATTAATTATTTTATTCATTCTATCTTCCCTACTTACTGGTCAATGAGATTTACTGAATTTACTCATGATTTACTGATCAGATTTACTATGGGATTACTAAACTTAATGAGATTTAGACGCTGTTAACTAGCACTTTTACTTTTGTTTACTTCACCATAGGTATGTGAGGTAAGTTGGCAGCGTGTAGTGTTTATTGCCTTTTTATTCTTTTTTTTTGCGAGGTGAACATGTAGGGAATCCAGTAACAAAGTAACAAAAGCTGCATTGATTTCTGAAAATGAGTTATTCAGGTGAAGTATAGTTAGAAGCCCAGCATCTCTTCTTGACACAATATATATTGTATTTTAATTAAAAGATTGCAAAATCAAATAATTTTAACGCACTGTTTTTGATATACTTTTTCACATTCTCGACTCTCAAGAGTTTGTGTATATCTTCTTTTCTAATCTATCAAGGAGCTTTTAAGTTACGTCTTAGTACAATATTTCAATAAGTTAAAAGTTTTCCAATAGTGGATAAAGCAATGTTAACAAAAGTAACATAGTCATAAAATAAAAAAAAAATAAAATAGGTCTAAAAACTTGCTGATAAAGCTCAGTTTTATTTTTTACACTTAACTTTCCTTATTTTAGTAGTTTTAGAGTATTCAGAATTATATTACAAAAGCCAGTTTTTTGATCCCTATATTCTCTAGCCTATTTATTGTTAACTGAACAATTACAATTACAAATGAAACAATATATGGTACACATGCAGTATGACATTTTTAATATATAACTTCATTTTAAATACCGCCGGCGCTCAAAAATCAGAAAAGTGTCTGAAACTGCCATTTTTGTCGTCCAAAAATTAATTATTTAATTTTTAATTAGTTTAATTATGTCATGATTCTATTCTACTTTTTTGGTCTTAATAACCCGAATTTTGGTCACGTCAGCAATTTTATTTAATTTACATTTACATAACATTTAATATATATTTATGTTTGTTAGACTCTAGACCCTAGAGTAGATAGTCAGTGCTACATCAATATTGTTGTAAGTTCTATAATTTTTTTAAAGAGTAACAGCAAATTCTATTAGTCAATATCTTATTTATCGTTACAGTTCCTATATGGATTTAACGTGCTTAAGTTAGAATCTTTGAGTAACTACCAAGACAGTAGTTTTAGTAATTATATCTAAATTTGATTTTTATGCAGATTCCCACAGTTGTATATCATATTGATTTAATAAAAACGTATAGTAGTTGTATGCAAAAATATTTTCCAATTTTCTAGAGAAATTAATTTTTTTTTAAATCAAAATATTAGCTATCGATTTCTACACATTTTACTACCCACCTTTCAGATAATTAATGAATATCAACCCAGAAAAACTATTTGTCTTATTCGTGTATTGGTATATTAGGTTATTTTAATTAAATAGTAACTATTTAATAACATAATATTAATACTTAATATGGTTTTGATAATATGGATGAAAAAGGTGTGTTTAACTATATATATATTATACTATATATTATAATATTTTAATTGTATATACACAACCTTTTTGAAGTAGTCATTTAATATATTATATTAATAATATGTGTAATATTAAGTTTGTTATAATGTTATTTTTAATGTATAATATATTAATAATTTCTTTATATATTTTTTTTAATTTCAGATCACGGCGCTATCTTAACAGCTGATACCGAACAATTTATAATCGGTCAGAAGGTTTGGGTCGGTGGCATACGTCCAGGACAAATAGCATATATTGGTGAAACACATTTCGCACCTGGTGATTGGGCAGGTGTTGTTTTGGATGAACCAAATGGTTAGTTATTGAGTTTTAAAATTAATTACAAAATTTCAATATAATATTTTTTTTGTAAAAAAATAAAAATAAAAAAAAAAAATTACAAAAATGAAGGTAAAAATGATGGCTGCGTTGCTGGTAAACGCTATTTCCAATGTGAACCGAAACGTGGTATATTTTCACGTTTAACACGTCTCACACTTGTACCATTAGCTAGCGCTTGCGTTACCCCAACTTCGCCTTTGTCCAAAAACTCACCAGAACGTTCACGTACAGTTTCACCAACTGCTAGCATTCGCAGCTCACTTCTGCGTAGCCCAAGCAGTAAGTATTAGATATTAAAAATTTTTTATAAGCATTTAATAATTTATTAAAATTCTAAATGCAACCATTAAATAACAAAAACAAAAAAACAAAAGAAAACGGACTTACCGTTGGTGATCGTGTAATAGTCTCATCTGGATTTGGTAGTCGCCCTGGTATTCTACGTTACTTGGGTGAAACTCAATTTGCTCAAGGAAACTGGTGCGGTATTGAATTAGATGAACCCACTGGCAAAAATGATGGCTCCGTTGATGGTATCAGGTTTGTTATAACAAATTGCAAATTGTCTTTCAATTTATATAGTTTTGTCATATTTTTAATAAATTTTCATTTGAAACTTTCTAGATACTTTGAATGTAAACCTAAATATGGTATTTTTGTGACAATAGCAAAGGTTTCATTATCGCCTTCATCGAAAAAAACGCGTCTTTCTAGAGCTGGCTCTCGCGAATCTCTAACATCCATTGGAACAATGAATAGCATTGCCACAACGAATACTTCGCGTATGCGAATGAATGCTCAGGTATAAAGCAAATTATCCACTCCAACAGCTTTGCTACAGTTTTACAGAATTTGCGATTTTGCATTCAAATATTTAATTTTTCAATTAATTTCAATTAAATTTAATATTTTTATTATGAAATGTATATGTTTCAAAAAATCAATTATTTTGAAAAAAAAAAAAAAACAAAAAAAAAAATGTTAGTTCAAAAATTATTCCTATTAACATTAACTAAACTAACCGCCGATTAACCTATTAAACCTTGATTATTATTTTCTCTCCAAATGCAGCGCAAATCGCCGTCAATTAAGCCAATTTCAACGCCAAAAAGTCAATTTTCCATGCAGGTATGCTAAAACTACTAGCAACAACCCTATTAACTTATAATCTATTTAAGCTTCTCCTAATTATTTTTTGTACTGTATTAAATGTCCTCCTTAATTAATCTATGTATAAAAATGTTATTGGTTATGCGATTATTAACGTCTAGGAAACAACTAAACTAATATAAGTTATATACTATATACTGTGCTCTTCCATTTAATATCTCTACTGCACACACACATGCACTAGGCTTGTGGTGTTCTCTTAATTTTTCTACTTAAATATTATCTATTATCTATATTTTATGGTTTAACATACCAATTCCAAACTGTAAAACATGTAAATACATATATATACAATATATATACAATATATATACAATATATATACAATATATATATATATATATATATATATATATACGTGTGTATTTTGTTTTGTTTCGTTAATTAACATTAATTTTAAGCTCAATATTTTACTACTAAAACTTGAAATAAGAATGCACTAACAACACTTTTTGTACAATAAAATTAAAATTATTATAGTCAAAAAATGTTTTTGGAATAATTATACCTTTTTTGGATTTAAAAATAAAGCAATTTTGCATTATCTAAAATATATTTTTGTGCACGCTTCTTTTATTTGTTTTTCTGATAATTAAATTTGCTTTTTGTTTTTATTTTATTTTATTATTAATTTTTTTTTTTCTATAGCTAAATTTTTCAAAATTAAAAAAATGCATGTATAATAATTTTTTTACTCCCAATAATAGATTCCTACCCCAAAATTTTATAAAACCTATCGGTTGATGAAGAAGTTATCTATCCATAATATCTATCCATAATAATAGAATTATTTAAACCATAAATCTTATTTTTATTTTGAATATAAGTGTTGTGGCATGAATTCACTTCCCCGCGCACCCTTATTTGACAATGCATTTTAATGCTGCCAGTCTTTCGTCTATGGTATATAAAAATATTGTATATATTTCGAGATATCCTCTAAAATTGTGAATTATACACATTGATAACGATAACAAAGTCTACATGCTCTATTAGGTCACAAAAACGACCGGATCTTGGTCTCGGAGTTACACATAGAGTTCGGCAATCTCTGCGCTTTAAAACAATAACAACGTCATACTCCATTTAGTTTATACAAGTTAAATTTGTAATATAATTGTTGCACCCCGAGAGCTCTTGACTTATAGGGTAATCAGTAACATAAACACAAAGCGTAATGTAAAAAGTTCCTAAATACAAAAGCCTCTACTAAAATCCATTGTCAAGTGACCATGCCTAGAATACTGTGTCAATGTTTCATATACTTTTTAATATATTTAATATATTATTATTAATATAAAAATTAATAATATTGATATATATACTTTTTTATTTACATATATATATATAAATATATATTTATATATATATACTATAGTAAATATCAGATTTGCAATACAAAATAAACACAAAATCTTTACTGGTATTCATTTTTAAAGATACCATAAATATAATTAGAATTACATTTAAACATTTAATTATAAATATATTATATTTAATAAAGTCCGTTTTATTAAAAAAGTCAACTGAACCACAACAAAGTATATATTAAAAAAACTTTTTGAAACCAATTTTATAAAGTACTTTCTTGTTGTATCTTAGCGCTTCTTTACTGAAATTCATTATGTAAATGTAGTTTGTTTTTAGTGTATGACCAACACTAAAGATATACGAACTTCTTCCTCATACCGATATATCTTAAATCCTGATCTTATCTTTTATCCTAATCCACTTATCCTTAAAAGATTTTATCCTCACTTATTCTCAAAAAATTTTATTCATATAAAAATTGTAAATACTCAATTTTCTTTCTCTGGGATTCATTTTTTCGTTTAAGCATATTTAGTTACTTAAAATTTAGTGAGAAATATCTATATTTACACTGGTCTGAAGTAATTATTATAAAATGTGAAGAAAACTTATAAAATACTTCATCTAGTAATATGTAATTATGTAGATACGTTATGAAAATTGAGGTTTATTTTATAGTATATATTTATTAATTTTATAGTAAATAATTTTTGCCTATCTAGGTATACTACATATATTTTAAGGTATATATAGTTTCATAAAATTGATTTAATTAATTATAGATGTCTCCCACATTCGTTGAGAGTGGTCCCAAACATATATTATTTTGATTTTATTTTTGTTTATTTAAAATAGTTTCCTACCGAGTCAACATCACACTAAAAATGTTTAACGAAGTTTTTATAACATAAATTGCCTTTAGTATGTTGGTCCACTCGTTTTCGACGCCCGAAATTATACCGAAATGATTTCTTTTGATATCCGAAATAATCGAAATTATACCGAAATGATTTCTTTTGATATCCTTTCCTTTTATGGTATAGTAAATGTCCAAATTAAGTACGCATGCTGGATGATCAATAATCATAATCATATGACCGTAATTATACCGAAATGATTTCTTTTAATATCCTTTACATTTATGATATAGTCAAAAAAAAACCAAATTAAGTGCGCACGCTGGATGATCCATACCAATAATACCCGACTCTCAACATCTTGGTCGAACTAATTAAATTCTAGCTAAAAATTGTTATAAAATTCCTAAATGGAATTTGGCGTTCCACGTCTGACCTTCTAGAATGAATACATTGTTAACAATTCCTTTTGAATCGGAGAAAACTGTCAACATCGTCTTGATTTTGATCCTTTGTATGCGTTATTTTCTTTTCTTCTTTAGTTCTTCTGATTACTTCCATATCACCAATATGGAGCTCTTATTAGAAACACTACGTTTCGGTTATATTGATTAATACAGATCTTGTGCAAATTTTCAATAAAAAATCTATAATCTATGCTTTTTATTTCTCTTTGATGAACGATTGTGCTTGATGAAAATGCCATCGAAACAAATGAAGTCAGTTAATCTAACGAAGAACCTGCTCCGCGGGATATGCATTTGATCCATTTATATATGTTTGGGTCACATTTAGACTATTTACAATGGAATTTTATATTCGCTCTTTGTTGCATATTATTTTTTCGAGCGATGTACAAGAATTGGTATTACATATTGTCGTATATTAAAAAAAATTTGCCTTCCTTTTGATAATATATATATATAAAATGTACATCATTCATCTTCCATTATATATTTATATATGCTGTTTTTCTAAGAACCAGTCTCATCGGGTATTGATCAATCTCTGTATATAAAATTATAAATTTTGAAATCGTATTAAGTTTCCTGGTATTAAGACTAACCATAATTGTTTAAACTGCACACATTATTCAACTACTATTATATACTTAAAGATGTTGTTCTGCTAAAAACTTTTATGGAATCAGTCCCTATCGGATATTGGACATAACATTGAGATTAATTTATGTCACCCTAGATATTTTGCCAGAGCAGCAGGGTTATCCTGAAATTAATAGCTGGATAGATAACTGGATAGATAAAGCATGATTTGATTTGACATTAGTTAAGACAATTTGAAAAATTTTAGATTACGCTAAAAACGTTCGGTGGGGCTATAAAATTTGACAAAATTTACGTTGAATCCAAATTCACCATTTGAAAACCCGATTAAAATAGTGTCTAAATTCATCATTGAAACAAATACAGATATTTTAATGACCTAGGAATAAACAAAGAGTTAAACAGATTTCTACGTTTTTAAAAGCTTTGTATAGTCTTTATATTTTATGAAGAGTTCTTCAAAATACTCTGGAGTACTTAGAGAACTCTGAAGTATAAGAGTTATTATATCAACTTTAAGTTTATATTATTTGCATTGATTCACACATTATATTTCGTATATTTCTTTTTAATTTATTTATTTTATTATACATATATAATTTTTAAATGTATGTATTATTATAGATATATATGCTATAAATACATTTATATAGATATGGTAATTTAGACAAATATAAATAATTATATACCACTGTAATGAAAAAAACTTTTGTAAATATATGCGTAGGAACTTGTAAATGTCTATTTCTGTTTTATCCAATAACATGTTGATATATGTTTTTATAGATATTTTTTGGGTTAACGTTTATATGTATATATCGAAAACAATATATATGCATTTATTGGCTTTCCGAATCGTAAACAAATATTTTTATTTTTTTTTTTCACTAGGATTTGCTACGCGAAAAACATAATCACATTGAGCAATTGCTGATCGAACGAGAATTAGATCGAGAAGAGGCACAGAATCAGGCGCTTCAATTTCAAAAGAATATAAACGAGGTAATTATCTTCAGCGATACTATATATGCGCCAGTTGTGTATACCAAACGACGACCTTATCGCCGTTTCTCACACCAACGGGTTGTAACACAAATGCCAATACTACGTTCCACTGTGTCCACGACAACTGCCACTAAAATCGCTCCAGCAGTAACATCAGCTGCTAAGCGATCTTCATTGACCACACAACAGTTAAAAACGAAACCGACAGCTAAAAAAGTTTGGTTTTCCGATAGAAAATTATTTCCAGTTGGTTGGTGAGGAAGTGTGAAGAATGGAATAGTTTATATATCCGGTTAAAAAATGTATCTGCGGTTTTCTAACATTTTTTTTTCTATTGGTGCTAAATTTTTTTATGTATGAATGACATATGTATGTAGTGACATTTGGTGCATGGCGGGGTTTAGTTGGGATTTGGAATTGTTTGTTCAAAAATTAGCGAAGGAACGAAAGCAAAAATTGTGTATCTTCTTAATTACTATTCTACTTTATCACAGTTGCATGTTATTTGTTTTGCTTCGTTGCGAATTGTATTTAACACAAAATGTTTTTATTTAACAATTTATCTAAAAGTTGTTTCAAAAGCTAATTACTTTTCTTCTAATTCGTTCGAGAACGGTTTTTCGTTTGCTGTTCCATTTCACAATTTTCACCAGTTTAACATAGGTTTTATGGATTTATGGATTTTATTTTATGGACTTCCTTAGGTGGCAATTATTTTTCATGTTTAGGTGGCAAAAATTTTCCATGTTAATTAACAATTTTTTTTTTTTTTATATTTTAGTCGTTTGTTATTAAATTATTTTATTATATATATTTACTTTTTATTTTTACACAAATATGCACACGATTTTTCATACAACCACAGAATATATACGTTGTTACGTTTATCAATTTAAAGCAAACTGTTAAATAAATATAAAAAAAATAAAAAAAAATATCTATTTTAAAAGTAAATTTATACAATGTTTATTTATAATACTACTAATAATTCCATTAGAAAATCAAAGTAACATGTGCAATATTATTGACTTCAAAATTATTGACTTCTCATTTATTAATTATGTTATAAATAAATAACTATATTATTTATAGATTATAAGATAATCAATGCAATCATTGAAGATATAATATCTGCAGATTTAAATAAAAATATAATTTAATTTGTATAATTAAATCTATAAATGCAAAACAAAATTATACCAAATTTAGCAATAATTATAACTATACATACTTTACATACTTACATAGTTTACAGCGGTTAGAATGTTAACAGACTAAAAAACAACATCTATCTTAAACCTCATTTGCTACACCGAAAGTTGTTGGCACTCCACTTATATTTTATATATAATACCACTAAAGACGTCTTTAATGTCAAAAAATATTTTGTCTATGTAAAAACTTTGGGTTTTATTGTAATATTTTACGTTATATAAAGACATTCATGTAAGTTTATGTTAATAAACTATGTTACCGATTTTAGACAGACTCTATTAAAAAATTTATGATTAAATTTAAATTTTCAGTAAATTCTACTTTTAATATTGATATGATCTAGATCGAGCAAATGTTTAAAATGAAAGAAAAATTTAAAAAAAAAAAATATCTTTGTTCTATTATATATATTCCATAAATAATAATCGCGAGCAGGTATTAGAGTATTAGAGTACATTAAAAGGTAGCGCCTAATATTTGAAAACAAAGCAAATTATCATTATATGTTATATTTTATTATTTTTTTAAATAATTAATGCTTAAAATATCTGGTGTTTTAAATACAAAAAAAAATTTATTAAAACAAATTATTTTTATTATTATTTATATACCATAGATTGTGTATTTCGTAATTATTATTTACTCACTATCTCCTTTTGTTTCCAAACTTACAAATAAATGATGAGTATTTGGCAATACTCGAAACAGCTATATGTTCAACCAAAAATTCAATTAATTAAAATAATATAAAATGATTTTTTGTTGTTGTAGTTCACTACTATTCTAAAAAACCCTCTTTAAAAAAAAAAATAAGAAAATAAAATTTTATGTGTGTAGATCATAATGATAATAAGTTCTTTTAAAAATTGAAATAATATGTATTAATTTTTTTATTCAAAAGAACTGTACAATCAACCCAAGTATACACTTTTATTATTCTTTCTTTATTTTTTATTTTTATTTTTTGAGATTACCCTTTTTCTATATAAAATATATCTTTTTTCGTAGATCATACAGTTTTTGATTATTCATTTTTTTTTATAAAATATTAATAATTGTAGGCAGCTTTAATATATTAATTCAATTAAAATACATTTTTTTCTTATATTTTTTTATATTTATAATATTTAATATTTTATTAAAATTTTAGTATTTATAATTTAATTTTTTCTTTCCAATAAGTTAAAAACAAATTTACAAAAATAAATGAATAGGCTTAATTAAAAAAATAAAAAATTTAAAAATAAAAATATACTGTTTAATTGCAAAAACGTTAATATGTTTTAATTAATATGTTTATTAGTTTTCGAGCAGAAAGTAAAAAAATTATAAGAAGAAAATCTTAAACTCAAAAATTAATATTTAATTATATATATTCTTTTAATAACTACTCTATTTTTCGTTGGTTTTTCCCAAAATCTTAACTGTTACATATATGTATTTATTTCTGTAACTATAACAAACCAACAAAAATTAAATAAAACATTAATATATACTAATTTATTTTAACAATTTAAAAATATTCATAATATTGTTTTTATAATTAAAAATATTAAAATTAATTATTTATCTAAAGTATTATCTTCTTAATTGTAGTTAACAGTTTGTACTTTCTACTGCTAATTTAGATTTATTTATGTTTATATAATACAAATTAATAGAAATTAATTAATTAATAATAATTTATTACTTAAAATTAGTAGTTTAATTATTTAATAAATTAACATAAATTTTTAAACGTGATCGTATTTTGATTTTAATTAACTAGTAATTGTCATTAATATAATATTAATATATCAAATTTTTTCCTCTTTAACTTTAAAAAATCAATTCAAAAAAATAAGAAACTTAAAAAATGATAAAAATATTGATTCATTCGGTATAAATATCGAAACATAAAAAAATATATGGTTCTCCCTAGTAATTATAAAGAGATAAAAAAATTATCTATCAGTTTTATCTTCAAATATTTTTATTAATTTTGAATTTTTTTTAAATATACAGTATAGGTTGAATATAATAAACATTTACTTATATGTTTACCATTACAAATATATTAAAATATAAATTTAATTTTTTGTTATTGTAATAAAAAAAAACAATGTAAAAAAAATTACAGCTTTTAATTTAATAAAAATATAAAACTAATTAAAATATTTTATAATTTTATATGTACTTGTTGATGTATGCTTGTATAAAATAAAAAATTTGTATTTCTTAAGTATTAATTAATTATATAATTTCAATTTTTTTTATAATATTGTATTTTGTTGCTTATATATACTTAATTGGTTTTGAATATTTAAATTCAAATATTTATTTTTATTTTAATATTTTTAATATATAATGTGAAAACCTTAGTTTTTAGTTAAGTATTAATCTATAATTTTATTTTATTTTTTTTATATAGTTTTGGGTTTTTTGTTATTCTTTTTTTTTAAATATTAAAAAAAAAAAATTTAAATATTTCTTTTTTAGCTTACATGTTCCATATTGTTATGAATGCTTATTAATAATTTCGATTCTTTTTATAATTTTTTATTTTATTTAAGCTTTAAATTTAAAAATATTTTATTTAAAGATTAACTTTCTCAATATATAATGGAAAACATTTTAAAACATTTTTTTAATTTAAATATATTTTATTTAAAGATTAACTTTCTTAATATATAATGGAAAAGATTTTATTCTAATTAAATTTTAATTTGTCATTTAATTTTTTTTTGTTTTTTGTAATTTCAAATTTTATGGTACATACATACATATATACGTATTTTATTTCGAGTATTAAAAATAAGCTTTAAATTCAAATATATTTTTGTTTTTATTATTTTATATACCTAATATATAATGTAAATAATATTTCTATTAGAAATATTAATTTGTGGTCTTATTATTTTTATAAAATAGAAAAATGCTTCAATTAAAATGTATTTAAATATTTGCAGTAGTAGTTATTATTTATTTGTTAAAAAAAAATTAGTTCGTAGTTAATATTTAAATATAAACTAAATGATTTCTGTATAATGTATTATAAACATAACCATAAATGAAAAATTGTGTGCATAAAAAAAGCTTGGTTTAAAATGAAAAATAATATTATACTAGATTATTTTATATTTTATGGATATATGTGATTTTAAGTAATATACATACTCTCCTCAAACGATGTGATTAAAATTATTTCAATGAAATATCTTACACTTCAAAAACTTTCATTTAGCACCAAATCAATCGTTCTTAGTTTTTATTATTATTTGTACTTTGTTTTTATTTGTATAGGGAAATCAAATATTTCTTTGAGGTTTCTCTTCTCATTAAATATATATATTTATAATATTATATGATAAGTTAATTAAAATTTTCAAATTGAATATACATATGAGTCATGTTAACAACTATCTTACATTATGTTAGTAATATCATTGAATCTTAAAGCAAAGAATTAAACTATAATTTTCAGTAAGGTTATACCGGTGATCCCTAGTGGATCCACTTAGGCCTATTGGCCCATTGTGATGTAATTTTCAGTTACTCTATGTTAATAGGACTTATTTGCATAGAAAGTATGCTTCTGTAATTCACAAAAAAAAAATAGTTCATTAAACATTTTATAATGAATTATTGAATTAAATCATTCATCTGCTTCAATATATCGAAGAAATTGAGCAACTGAATAGTTTAACAATTCATATAACGTTGGATGTTCTTTTGAAATCGTGTGCTTAGCTTTAGTCAAATAACTCATTAAGTCACAAGGGACTTACTTACAATTTTTATAAGACAGTAAATATTCAAATTACAATAAAAAAACGTTTTCTTTTCGACTTTTTATATCCTACAAAGCAAGTCTTTATATGTTATTATTTAAGTAAATTAATCAATGAACTATTGACCGATCTAGTTCATTAAAATGAACTACAATATGTAACTGTGACAAAAACAGATTTTAAAAATTATAACATTAATTCTCTACAGACTTATATGATGCAAGTATGATACCATTTATAAGAAAAACTAGGAGTGTTCAGGAAACTAAGCTTTTGTTTAAAAAAATTTGATCTAAAAAAATTAAAATAAATTAAAAATATTGCAAATTAAAAATTATACTCAATAAAACTTATTTATTGATTGCTGAAAAAAAAAACAAAAGTAAATTATAAAAATATTAAAAAGTATAAATTACTTCATCTCTCTACATGTCGAATAGTCCTCTTAATGACTCCATCGTAAGTTTAATATCACCGCTTGTCTTTACACCAGTAAGCACAGGTTTTTAGAAAAAGTCATGTCAAATAGTATATAAATAAATAAAAAAAAAACTAAGAACGATTGTCATATAATACAAATCGAAAATGTAGGAGCTTCTCTTATGGTTAACCATATCTTTCATTTCAAGGCGATACCATAATTGATTATTAGAATCTGATTCTTTTGAGTTTATATGTTAACATTTCATTTTGTTTCTTTATTTCTGTATTGCATTTATTTACTTATTTTTATATTTTGAATAATTTATAAAATTAATAACTTTGTAAAAAATTTTAAAATTTGCAATGAATGCAAAACGAATTGAAAACGGTATTGGCTTTCCTTATGTACTCTCATAAAGCGGTATATTCTCAAAACTCGAAGGTTCAGTTCTGAATATAAAATTGGCACTTACCATGAAAAGTAATTAGCATTGAGTTCCTATTCTTGACTAGGGACACCAATATCACTACAAAAAAATATTTTTTTTTTTTCAACGTATTAAATAATTATGTGTATTAATAATAAAAAAAAAAATTATATATATTTTTATCACATTACTAACATTTTTTTTTTATCACATTTACCTCTATTTCTCCTTTACGACAACAAAAAAATTTCTTTAAATATGAACCAACCAACCATCCATCCAAAAAAAAAACTATCAACTATATAGAAAAAACTCAGTGATTCTGATCGCTGGGCTCGTCTCATCGAACGACGCAGTTTTCGTTTAGCCGATCTTCGCCGTGAATTCCGTGGTTGGTACGGTAACCACGAACGACATTGCATACTACACAGCGTTTTGACACCGTTGCGCATCAAATAGGCGGCCAACCCAACACGCCCATATAATATAGAATATAGAATATAGGCGTACGTGTTTGTTCTCATTATTGATGTCGCTTCCACTTAGTGTCGCAGTTTAAGTGCTCAAACTATACGGATGTCTTCTATGCAGACTTCCTCTTACCAAAAACTGAATTGAAAAAATATCGCAGGCAAAACAAAAAAAAAAAAAAATTACTTCGAAAAATGAAAACAAAAACGTTTTTTTTTAATTTTTGATAAAATAAAAATTTAAAATTAATTTTTCTAATAAGTAAATTTTTATATTACGGCGTTAAGATAATTAAAAAAATTTGTCACTAGCGATCTTTTTCTTTTTGCTGCTGTTATATATTTTTTATATAAGATTGGAAATACATTTTATATACACATACGTAAACTTGAATAATATATATATATATACATAAACAAAACGATACTTATTAAAAGTTATTTTATAAATATATTGTAATAAATGAAATATTAAAAAACTTTTATTATTGTTGTTTGTTTTTAATTTTTTTCTTGATTAGTTAAACTTAAAAATAAACCAACTGCAACTCCAATTGGAAGATGAACGTAAGAAAAGTGAAGAATTGCAATTCTCTATACATGAAGCACAATGCTATGGAGATGAGTTAAATGTAAGATATATTCTCTAATTAATACCATTGTCGCAGAAAATCAAAAAAAAATTGAAATTTATTTTGAACCTATAGTAAAATCGCTTTTATCAAGTACAGAACATTTATATTGTTCTTGCAACCTCAAGTACAGTTCACACCTGTGTCGTCTAAAAAGACGACTGGCTCCGGGACAGAGATTCTACAACTTTTAGAACCACTAATTTTGCTACTGTTTGTTGTATATAAAATATTAGTGAAATTTCAGTTATGTTCATAGCCATGTCATTACAACTTACCTATAACGAGTGTTTGATGAAGAAATATTAAATGAAGGCGATCTTATATTTATGTAGTATATATAATAGTATACCATAGTATACCAGCTGGTATAGTAGTATATAGTACACCAGCTGGTATAGTAGTATAGTATAGTATACCAGCTATTATAGTAGTATAGTATACCAGCTGGTATTGTAGTATAGTCTACCAGCTAGTATTATAGTATAGTATACCAGCTAGTATAGTAATATCCTGGTATAGTAATATAGTATACCAGTGTGAAGTATACCAGCTGGTATATAATACTATATATGCTATAAATGTATAAGATCGCATTTATGTAATATATCTTTATCAACAACTGCTTACTCCTCCTCAATAAAGTTTACCTCCTAGTAAACTTTTAGCTGATATACCTATTACACTAAAACCCCTTTTCGAATGTAATAATAGAATATTATAAAATATTTCGAGTTAAGATTCGTACAAATAAATAAGGCTTTTGAGTAAAGATACTCTAATTGAGCGTTTTAAAACGCAGTCTAGAAGTTAAAATTTACATTAAAAAAATAGTTATTAAATAATATAACAATATAGGCTAAATTTTTTTTTGTCCTAATTTACATATTTCTTCTATTTTATGCAGCTTTTTTTATTAGGAGCAAATGCAATAAGCCATATAAACTTGCATTTATACTATAGTGTACATACCTGTACACTCAAGTCCATCCCAGCGCAGCTAGTCTGCACTCTGTTACCAATATGCCCGGATATCTCCATAGTCAGAACCTTATTTGTAAACTGGTTTCTGACATAGAGATCTGTGATAGCACAAATCGTATGAATATTGAATTTCATTTCCGCAAAATTTTCAATGCGGTTATTCTTAATCATTTCAATTCAGAAAGGATTTCTGGTTTCACACCAAAAATTATCTTGTGTTACAGTACGTTAAAAAAACTATATGAGAAGGGGTCTTTGGCTATAACACCTGAATTGGCGCGGTGCGAAGGTTAACGCTATTGAGGCTGGCGCGCAAGTCCTCGTTACCGAACGGTTAAATGGCGTACATATATGCACCTACGCAGACAGTAAAGCAGTAATTGTTTTCTTGAAAGTTCTCTTTGAAAAGTTTGGTACTTTATTATGACATTTTGCAGCAACTGATGAGCAAAAATAGGGCGGTGCTTTGCTAGGTGCCTAATCACACAAAAATCAATAGCAATTAGTCGGCAAATTATTGTGCTAGAACTGTATCAACAATACAATTCTATTGATCGATGCCATATGACGCAATAAATTTGTCCCCATTATAATCTCTTATAGAAAAATAGTTGGTATCTGAAAAAAGTCACTATTAGTGCGATACTTTAGGTAACCGCTAGGTTTAAGAGTTGATTTATCACAATAACTACATTATGGCATCCATCCTGACAAGAACATAACTTATATCACCATTCTAACATGATGGACTTGTTTGAGGGTAAGACACCTTATGACATGTTTGTAACAATCGTTTTTGATCTGGGTCAGGGGTTCCGATACCCATTTCATCTTAGAATATACTCAACAGTTAACATTTTAGCTTGCATTTAAATAGCAGAATATATTTTGTTCCACTAGGGTCGATAAGCAGCATAAAAGAGAAATTGTTGTTTTAATGCTGCCCTGCTCTGAAAATCAATATCACTTCTATTCTATTCTAATTCGGAGTAAGAAATTATTTCGTTTTTTAAAGATCTGTTGAAACTTTAATTTTTTACGTAAACTTAGGTCAGATACCAGACAAAATGTATTGTATCGGCCGCTTATAGAACAAAGCGATAGATTAAGATAGATTGAGATCGCCTATCATTATTTATAAATATAAAAATAAAGACGGAAGTAGATGAAATTAAAGATAGAAGATAGATAAATAGAATTAAAGATAGAAACTGAAATATAGATAGAAAAGATAGATTTTCAATGGACAACCGATATATGTCCTGTTTTCTGTTTTAAAATTTGAAAGATAATGTTTAGACAAAAATGTTTCCTAGACTTCTTAGCATTCGAATGAATATATATATAATGTAATGTGGACTTGAGGTCTACTCTAATAATATAAAGTTAATCTTTGAAATATTTTTTGCTTTAAAAAATTCAATTTTTGTCTAGTATGATTATAGATGTTTGTCTTTTGTGTTATAGTTTTACACAATTTATCTTTTAGATTCTAGTTTAACAGAGTTTGTGATCTGAAGACTCGGTTATGTTATTGAATCTACACATATAGCTTGACACAAAATCTGTATTGCTTAGATATCCATTACGCCTATAGCATCCAATCAATATTCTTAATCTGTTCTCGGTAAACTGATATAGAAATGTTTTGCTATTATAATTGCAAACTGTAGCACTCCTTCATATACTACTTTGCTTATTCTGTAATACCATTGATGTTCTATCATTGCATTGAAGTCTCTTTTTTTGACGAGCTAAGCAGCTTGCTCATTTCCATAGTTCTTTACATTGCGAAGAACGTAGTGAAGGTTCACTTTGTTATTCCTACCTAACTGATTTGATTTCTGTATACAGCTCCACACTTACATCTAGTCGGCTTCGTACCAGCTTATTACTTGAAAGGTAGTTTGACCATCCAAAGTATGGTTACGTCTCCTATTTATAGAGTATATATGTATATATAGAGTATATATGTATGTATAGAGTATATATGTATGTATAGAGTATACTGCTTGCAGATTTAATAGCGTTGTTTGTGCTTCAAAAATAATTGAAACTTTTTTCATTAATTTCACGTACACTAATACCTCGTCATTAATTGGGACCAACAAAATCGGACGCAAATCAAATCACATTTCTCCACATATTTAATTTCCAAAAATATTCTGCTTTTTGATGAGCACTTGTTGATAGAGAATTGCTTTTTAATTCATTGAATATCGACAGAGCCTTATTTTGAATTAACATTTGACTCAATGACATTCTTCTTTGATTCTGATTTTCTATCCGAACGGAAAGAAGGGGCTTCATTTTTACAAGTAATGGACTTTCAGTTTTTGTAACTTGTTTGGCCTGCAAATGTGTGACAAGTTTTCTATAGTACTTTATCTTTTCCGCATCACCATAAAAAATTATTTTTACAGTAGTTGGAACTATATCCAGAATTCTCCCAATGTTAGGGTTTTGTCCAAGTTTAAAACGTTATAAACGTTTAACTTTTATTCCAAAATAATTGTTTTCGCTTTTGACTCATTTTTATAATTTATAAAGCAGAAATTTGCCTTTCCACTTCATCTCACAAATGTAAACTAACTGACTAACTAACATGTAATTAATGAAGTTATTAATTAATGAAGTTATCCTCTTTTAAAAAATGTGACCTACAAGGAATGGGAATCCCCCCTGAAGGTATATTTTAAAAAACGATGCAAATCGAAACACTAGCGACCCAATTCGAAGCTAAAAATTTTTTTTTTTGGCGACGCAAATTTTAATATTAGTGCATTTGATTCTTGACCCAAACATTCCTACCCTTCGATTAAAGAACTTTAAATAATATGTTATCGATATTTTTTGAGTTAGATGTCAAAAGTTTAAAGTTTACTGCAAGTCTTTATTAAATAGTTTTTTTATAATATCAGAAGATTCTTATGATCTGAAGTAATATTAGTTATTAATAAAACTGAAAGCTCTATAAAAATTTAGATAAATGGATAGGTTGTACTGAAAAAGAAAGGTTTTTGATCACATTAAGGGGACAATGCTTAATGTTGAACTCGACTAGAAATTAGAAATTCAATGCGAATGCTTGCTGAGAATTCTGATTGGCATAAAGAATCCTCAGTAGTTATTATAGTTAACGGATAGTAATTTCCGATCTAGTATACTCCTCTTAGCGCACATTAGAACTGGACAGAAATAAATTATATGATTATATGATTTGAAATTGCATTTACCTATAAACAACACCAACCATCTTATTCCTGAAGCAAACCCATTTTATTGAGAAGGCAATGTAGGCTGTAATGACCCCTCAAATAATTTGTCAAGATCGGATGTTTTGTCATAGTTGTACGAACAAATAAGTTGTTAAGCCTAATAGTCACCTAAAGTATCGTGTGCATAATGACTTTTTTAGGTTCAAATCTTGTTTTCTATTAAAGGATTAATAGTTCACTAATTTATGGAAATAAGGTTCCGCTCTACAGAACTGAGTTTCTTAGTCAATCAAACATTTTTTTAAGTAAAGATAGGCTACAAGGTTAATAAACCTAAATTATATCTAAAAATAAATATGTTTAGAAAAAAATTTTCTAATCACCACTGATGATCGGTATGTTTTGATAACCATACAGCTGGTATGATCGGCCAAAGAATTCACTTTATTCAAATTTTTTTGTTCTTACCAAGTAATCAAATTCCCCCAAAAAAAAATTTATATCTGACATCTAAATTAATAGATTTTTATTAGGATTATCTATTATATATTTTTAATAAATTTAAAAATTTAAAGATCTATAAACGATTCGTGGAATGTATTTTATTCCATGTTTCATATTTGTGATAAAGGATTAGAACAACTGTTGCCTATGTCGACCTGGTTGACGACTATCTTGCGGGCTCAACTGAAAATCCATTTTCTCAATGTGATCATCCACTTTTAGTGAGATGTGACCTATTCACGTCCACTTCTGATTTTTTTGTTTGATACAAATTGTTAGTAAAAACTACGTGAGCTAAAAGACGAAATAGACGATTTTGATTTACTTGTTTAAAAACTTTGATAGATGTTTTTGATAGATATATGCTTTATATGATCACGTAAGCGTCTAAGTGGCTATTCAAACCACTTCGCATTTTTTTAAAAAAATTGATTATGGTTAGACGGGATGGTTCATGTTTGCAATACAATTGTGAACATCGCTAATTATTTTAGACCAGCTTAAAGGCTATATTATATAATTGAATAATTTTAATCTCTTAATTAATGATCTGGATTAATTTTCAATTCGATTTCTATGATTTTCTGCGACATTTTTCATATCTATTGTATAAAAAAATTACAAGTTTTATATTTTTAGGCTGAAACTCAAGTTTACAAAGAAAAAATTTCTACACTGGAAAATAAACTGGGAACATTGAAATCTGGTAAGTCTTAAAATAAGTTTTTATCTAAGATTAATTAATGATTCAGTGCAAATTTACTGATGAGTTGTGAACGAAATTGTTTTGATAATATAAATATAACTAGATATAATTTAAAAAAAAACGTACGGAATTTCTTTAAAATAGTCATAATACTGTCAACAATCTCTGTAACTAGCAAAGCGAAACATCACACCGTCTATTCTGTATTGTCAAAAATTAAATCGAATACCTTGATCTGGGTATAATTGAAAAGGACGATAATAGGTATTTATATATGGCTATTCTGCATGTATTTGGCTTATCCGATATCTTCTTCTAATTCTTATCGAATAAAAACGCGTATGCAAACATTCATTATGTACTCTTAAGTATTTACTCGGAGGGATAGACATTTTCATAAAGTGCTTACCAACCCAAAAATGTCTGGAAATATCTCTTCATTTGTTCTGTTAATGTTTTGTGATTTTCAGAAATCTAATCTGATTTTTATCGAGATTAAAACGAATCCCTTATTTTTATCGAGGTCTCCTCGAAACAAAAGAAGTCTTTAAGCGTTAACTCATCTATTATACTGTTGTTCGACCCTATATAAAAAATCAATCCAATATCTTTATTTGATTCTTAACAAACGAAAAGAGAGTATACTAGAAATGTATTAAAGTATATTAAGCTGATTTTTTTGTCATAACAAAATATGCCTAGGAACTTCAATGAAATGATCAAATATCGTTTAAAGCATTTCCGCACGATAGCAAAACACTATATAATAATAATCCATAATAATAATAAAAAGTATCTAGAAAACTTGAAATCTCTTACGATTTGAATATTTAAATTTTGAGAATTTTAAATAAATAAAAAAAAAACATTTATTTTTTTTTACAGATGTTGAAAAGACAGATGAGAGCAAAGATTTGGATCAAGAAAGTGCTGCAAATGAAAAACGAAATGAAGAAACACGTTTATTAGAGAAACTCAAGTACCTCGAAAATGAAATTCAAACTTTACAAAATGAGCTTTTGGCAAAAGATGAAAGTTTAGAGAAATTTTCGCTTTCGCAATGTGGTATCGAAAATCTACGACAAGAACTGACTTTACTTAAAGAAGAAAATGAGAAAGAACGACAATCCGCCTCCTTAGACCTCGCAAAGAAAATGGAAGAAAAGAACACAGAGCTGCAACAATTACGAGAAGAGCTATCCACATACGTTAATAAATGTAACCAACTTGAGAGTAATCGTGCACTCATTGATGATGAACGTGAAGACTCGATGGCCAAATATAATACTCAGCAAATCGAATTGCAAGAGATGAAGGAAGAATTGCTGAAACTAAGAGCTGATTTGAGTATTAAAACCGCAGAGAGCGCTACGCTAGATGAACTACTTAAAGTAGAACAAGAAAATTATACTGAAGTCAATGCCAAACTGTTGCAGCAAACAGAGGAGCATGCGAAATTACAAGCAGTGACCGATGAACTTCAAAATGCAAAGTGTGGTTTTGAGGAAAAACTTGAACATGCCAGAATTGAAATGCAGAAGCTTTCTTTAATGCAAGAAAGTGCCGGAGCTGCTGCATCAAGTATTGAGAGTGAGAAACTGGAGCTGTCAAAACAACTTCAAGCTGCACTGAAAGAGCTAGATATGAAAAATCTTGAATATAATAAATTAAGCGAAGAATGCAGTGACTTAAAAGAAGCAAATGAAAATCAAAAATCGAATGAAATTGCTTTACGGGGTGAATTGACAACAAAAAATGAACAAAATGCTGAAATAAGTAAGGAGTTACATTCAGCTACAGAATTGGTTTCCAAGTTACAAGTTGATATTGTAGAGTTAAAAAAACAAAATGAAATATCAATCGAAACAAAAGCGCAAGTGATTGAAAGCATTAAATCTGCAAAAAATGATTTGGAACGTCAAGTCAAGGAGTTAGAAAACACCGCGAGTACAAATGAAAATGCTTTGACAACCACAAACAAGGACTTATCAAGTCAAATAGAAAAATTGCAGAAGGCATTGCATAATTGCCAGATTGAACTTGAAGCAGAACGCGATAAAAACGTCAAACAAGAAGCAATCACAGCTGCTAAAATTGATGAACTAAAATCCACAGTTGCCACCTTAGACACAACGAATAGTTGGCTTCAAAAACTCACACAGGAACATGAAAACACTGTTGAACGCTCTCAAGAACTGGAGGTGCAACTAAAGAATAGCGAACAGAAGTGTGGACAACAGGAACTCAATATAGGTGATCTTTCACGTAAGTTGGAAGCACTGAATACGAAATGTGACAGCCTCACCTCTCAGAATGAAATCCTGCAGAATGATATATTATCAGCACGAACAATAGGTTCAGAAACACAAACTGCGATGCAAAAACTGATCGATGAGTTAAATGCGCTCAAACAGACACACGCAGATTTGCAAGCTGCCAACCAAACTGAAAGTTTGCAAGCAGCAAATCAAATTGAAGAACTACTGCAAAAACTTAAAAACTCTGCGAAAGATATAGAAGAGCTTAAATCCCAAAATCAGAAGACGAAAGAAGAACTAACTAAAAAACATGAACAGTCTACAGCGTTTGAAGAACAAGTGATAAAACACGAACTTTCATTAAGTGAAGCCAGTAGGCAGCACGAAAACCTACAACAAAAACTTAATACAGCTGTAGCACAAAACGAATCATTACAGAATGACTTGATGGCTCTACGTAGTTCCTCCACTGACTCTAATGCCGAGCTGCTGAAACTCACACAAACTGCAGCCGAAAAGCAAAGTGCATACGAAATGCTTGTCGATAAAACCAACAATGAACGTTCCACGCTAGAGGGTCAACTTCAGTCTAGTCAGCATCGTATAGACACACTCTGTAATCAAATTGAGGCTCTAACACTAGAGTTAAAATCGACAGCGGAAGAAAATTTCAAACGTACAGAATCACTCAAAACCGTACAAGAGAAACACGAGGCCCTTGCATTGGAATTTAGTGCTTCGACTAGAGAATTAGATATGGTAAAGTCTAAATGCGAAAGCTTGACAAATCAAAACTCATTACTGCAAAAGGACTTAGAAGCATTACGCTTAACCTCTACAGATGCGAATGGAGAGGTACTTAAACTTACTGAAGAATTAAACAGCAAACAAAAAGCTATACAAATACTCAACGATGATACTAGTGCTACACAATTAAAACTCCAGAATCAGATACAGGAACTTACACAATCCCTTGATACTAACCAGGGTGAAACACAAAACCTGCGTAATGAACTAGAAACAGCTTTAGAACTGAGTAAAAAACAAGAAGCAGAATATTTAAGTTTGAAAGCGGCAATCCAGGAATTGGAGACTGTAAGCACAAATAGTGCTACCGAAAAGACACAAGTTATTATAGACTTGGAGCAACAACTCAAACAAGCAGAGCAAACCAAGCTAACGTTAAATGATGCAATTTCCAGCTTACAAAACCAAATTAAGCTGCTGCAAGATGAGATTCTGAAATCACAATTAGCGTTCAAGTCCAGGGAAGAGGAGCTATTAGGAAAAGTTAATTCCACCAATAATGATAGTAATCAATTACAAAAGAAATTATCTCAATTAGAAACTGAATCTGATAGCAAATTAACAATATTGCAAAATGAACAACAGGAACTTTTGCAGAAGGTGGAACAACTGACAACGCAGTTGAAAGAAAAAGACGATCAAGTACAACAACATAATACCGAGTCCGCCCAACTTAAGATTTCCCAATCAAACAACACAGAAGAACTGAGAAAACTTGAATCCGAAATCGAGTCATTAACAGAAAAATTGACTCTAGCAAACGATGAAGTTGTTTATCGCACAGAGATAACTGAAGCAGATAAGCTTAAAATTGAAGAATTGAAAGGCATGGTAGAAGCGATTCAAGAAGCCAATGCCGGCATATCAGCTACCAATCGAGACCTCTGCAACGCTCTACAACTTATGGAAATGGAAAAGTGTGAAATAGCTAATATATTTGAAATTTTTGAAATTGAGACAGATAAAACCAATGAGCATTTGAGTGGCAAAGTTTCAGGTCTGTTGCAGCAATTAACCGAAGCGCAAAAACAAGTAACTGATCGAGATGAGATTTTAGAGAACAATAAAAAAATGTTCCAAGCCACTGAACTTGAAAGGAAAGCTTTAATACTTTCCGTAAGTGAAAGTCAAGCCAAAATCCTAGAACATGAAACTACAGTTAAAGAAAAAGAACAACTTATATCGACATTAAAAGCGCAAATATTAGAACAAACCGAAAAGCTAATAAAGCATGAAGAGGTCGAACAGCAATTGGAAGAATATAAGAAAGTCATGGACGAACTCGACGACGAAAGTACGAATTCCACCGCGAAGATAACAGAAATGCAAACTCAATTGAAAAATCTTCAAGCGGAAAAAATTGCTTTCACTGAACGCGAAAAGAACCTAAACATGGAATATAAAACTCTCGAACGTAAAATCGATGTTATAGAAGCAGAGAAAGTTAAAGAAATAAATGCTCTGAAGGTACGCATTAATGACTTGCAATCGATTCGGCAGTTGAAGCAAAATGGCGACATGGAAAATATGACAACAGAGGTTAGTTAAGCTCTTGAATATTACATTTTTACACTTATTAATATCAATTATTTTATAAAAAATAATTTCAGAGTGATAACCTTGAAGGCAGCACTGCCCAAATTAACTTCCTAAATTCTATAATTGCAGACATGCAGAAGAAAAACGATACCTTAAAGGCCAAAATTGAAGCTCTAGAAAAATTGCCAACAGATTTTATGCAGTATGTATATAATATATTTCCAGAATATTCTGCTCTTCATATAAATTATTATTCTCTTACACATTTTTCAACTTTGTCGATTTTCAATATGTTGGGACTCGCCCAGAAATATTTAAATATTAGAACAATTTTTTTGATTGATCGTAAAGACTCTCTTAATACAAATGTTTTGAATGGCTAAGCATAAAAATCGAATAAAAATTTCAAAAGTTATATGCCATTTTCCAAATTTGTTCGAAATGGTTTTGATTAACAAGTGAAACCAAAATAGAAAAAGGTCTTCAACTAATTGCAAATAGGACGTGAGCTTAGCGAATCGGATCTTTTTATGGACAGTTCAAAATTATGTTTGAAAGCTGCTCTTGTTCACAACGGCAACTGAAATGAGGTCCATGTACTGTGTAATATTCTTTGACATGCATATTAGGTGCAAATTCTGTATTTCGACCGCTCCTCTATATTAAACTTTGACATCAGCTCTAGATTTAATACAAAGCCGTTTAAAGTATGTAACGCCCCAAGCGTTGACAGCGGAAATGTCTCCTCGAAATGACAGAAAAATTATTCGCATATGTAAAAAATTTTAGAGGTTTGAATTCAAACTGAAGGAAAACTCTGTTAATCACTACAAACCAAAGAGAAGTGATAGACCAACTCTTTAAAGAGTTTTTTATACGTTTTACTTGTTAATACGGAGACATTTCATTTAGCTCTCATCGAAGTAGAGTATAAATGGCTTATAATGTCTATAGTCAGTTAAAATAACCTTCGTTCCATTGTTAAATGCTTTAGCTATTTTTAAAATACCTCTGGGCATATTTTTTTCATTTCTTATAAAAAGTTTTGAGAAGGCAGAAATCAAACTTACTGGTTTATAGTCCTTCGAATAAAGGTGACTGTTTTCGTTACAAACTTCGCCATTCTTTAGTTTATTAGGATCAAAAATTAATTGTCTTAAGTAACCATAGTTTACACGTTTCTTGAAAGCTCTCAATTCGGAATTCCCATAACAAATTGAAGCAGTGTCTTTCCTCATTATTTACCTATTAATTGTTAGTTAATTGTTAGACAACAACAGATAAGTTTCTCTAGCCGCATGATGGCTAAAAATTATTGCTAGACTGCATAATACAAATTAAGAGGTTTAAGTTAGAAAGAACAATTAAATAAGTATTAGTTAAGTATAAAAAATAATAATCTCTTTCCATAATATCAATAAATTCTCATCCCTCTGTCTCAAAACGTACAATAGTATATCCAACAAATTTTGTTTAAGTCATGCAAAATTATATACAAAAGCATATATGTCCAATCTATAACTTCTACGAAATTAAATTGATAAAAGGACCATGGTCTTAAAGAAAAGTGATAAATTAATTAAAGCTTTAAAACAGTGATATAAGAGAGTTTAAATGTGATTTTTTTAGGCACTTTTATAGTGTGTTTATTGGGACTATAAACACACTATAGTATATATATTCCATATTTTGTAATAACATCAGTGATTTGTATTCGAATGTTTCTTTAATATAAAATAATTGTTTGGATGTGATTTGTGTTGACATCATCTTCCACATCTTGAATTGAACTTAGTCATTGAGAAATAGGCGTTCATAATACTCACTGAACGTATAAACATATACTATATACATAATTAAATTTTCGCTATTGACTCTTTTGGACAGAAATTGTTATAAATTGCTTCTAGAAGCCACAAATGTTGACATTTATGGTATTACTGAATAATACTGCTTTGCTTAAGTGATGAGGCACAGATAGCGTCGGATTTCATGACCAAATTTGAACCGACATATTGTTTTTTCTCTCACTGTCAATTTTTTAATTTACGGTGAAAACAATAACAATTTTGCTCATGATGAGCCCATGACGCTCTATACAAAATGGCACTACGACTTTATTGGATTCATATTAACTCAAACTCTTTTTGTTCTTCCATCAAAAATGTTCCCCATTTTCTGGTCCCAATGCTTATTTGTCGAAATGTCACAGCTATTCCAGTGCTTGATCGTTCAGCACAACTTCAAATGATTATCTTTTTCAGGTTCTTAGATTCTTTCAGTGGTCGTACGATGCCGGTAATTAAATTTTTTGATTTCGTATTTTTCCATAATTGCCAGCACTTAAGTAATTATCGATATCCAAATCAAAGTCAACATCGGTAAAGAATATAAAATATGAGTTTTAATCTAAAATTATATAACTCCGAAACGCTTGAAATCATATTGTGCGACTACTTATCTTTTCCTCTTTCCTCTTTGCGTTTCGTACTCGTAACGTTTTCGATGGTTTCTTCTTAGGTTTTTTGGTGTTTTTGTGTTTTAAAATTATTGACTTGTTTTTGAGTATTTTTAATAATAAATTTCATTTCCGCTGACCCGATATTATATAACTAAAGAAGCGATACCAATATATAACCTGAGCATTTTGCCATTAAATTAGAAATGGAAAATAGTTGATCTTACTTCGAAGTCGGTCGATCGTTCGATCGTTCGATAGCATGATCGGATTGGTTTTGAATCTAAATTTGAAGAATGGAATAGAAGTTGAGATTGCAGTTACAGCTACAACTCTTTAACAAAATTATTATTTTTAGTGTTAAATGTATCACACTTGGACTCAGGAATTGATAGTTAAAAAGTTAGAACTACAAGAGGATAGGTTTCATTCTAACTTTTGTAAAGGTTACGATAAACTGTAATACATGAATTATGAATATTATTTTATTATTAAAACTATTTTGTAATATTTAAAAACTTTAAATTAGTTGAGTGGAATTGAAGAACAATATTAAACAATGCATAATTGAAATTAAGATACAAATACTAAATAATTTGAAATATTTCACTAATTGCGTAATTATATAAAATTATACAATATATTTTAATTAACTCATAATTAGTTTAATAGGTTTTATAATAAAAGCTTGAGTTCTTCAACAAGTCGAATAATAATATTTACTGAAACATTCCTTTATATTATATACGATTTTAAAAGTTTCGCTTATACATATTCACACATTATATTTGTAAGTAATTATAATATTATTTTGTTTATCTTTTCTCTAGACCTAATGCCTTCGATTTGTTTACTAAACGCAAGCCGACACCACGTAAATTTTGTGACATTTGCGATGAGTTCGATAAACATGAAACGGAAGACTGTCCAATGCAAGCAGATGAACGTGATTCGCCTACGCCTATTTCGGAAGCAAATAATAATGATCCTGCGAAAAAGGAACGAAAATTACCAGAGCCACGAAAATATTGTGATGCTTGTGAAGGTAAGCCTTTAAATTGACCTAATAGTATTAACCTAATAGTATGCTCTGTAAGAACAAAAATCTTCCATTACTTATTAAGATTTTTGACTCTCTCTGAAATGAAAATGTGTAGGTAGTTCTTTTTAAAACAGGATAACAAAGACGCAACAACACTGTACATAGTAAAACCGGTTTCTCCAAACTTTTTTGTGTGTAATTTATTGTTGATGATGGATCTGTCTTAATAAAATTGACTATATTGTTAAATTTACCCATCTTCACATTATCCACATTTGAAAATAAAATATGTGACTCTTTAAGGTATCGGAATAACATATTCAATGTGCTTTACCTACTGTTCTTGAGACAATGCTTAATATGCAACGTATTACGATGATCTATTGCAGCCTCAGTATAGCTTTTACGAGGCGTACTGGATTAACATATAGTTTTGTCAAAATGATTATTTATTTCTTGTTTGTAATAGGATGTGATTTAAAATTTAAACAGTTTCATCTTGAGTTTCATAGAACTCCATACATCAGTGGAATATAAAGAATATATACCACACTTTTTATTTGTCAACTCATACCTTATTATCACGAATATATTCATACCTATTGCAACGAGAAAACTATTTATCGCGATTGTATCTTCATTATTGAAGATACTATTGAGATTGTATGAAGATATTATTGAGATGGTATCTCCATTGTAATTTGATTATCAATAATAGCCTTTAGCCCTCCACTATTATCTACCATCTTACAGGTAGAAAGATAAAAGTCGAGAATAGCCAAATTTTTTTTGGTTCAACTAATGTTAGGATATAGTTTTTACAGACTATACCATAACGTGGCCGACTAGACTATGTTTTTATACTGAAAACTAATAAACGTAATCGACTAGGCTATGTTAGTATACTGGGAATTAATCGATGTTACCGACTAGACCACATTGGTATACTGATATAAATACCTTGTTGAACCCGTACCTAATCGGTGCTGTCTTCTTCTTATAGTGCTCTGTCGAAAGGGCTCCCATGAAGTGACCCATCGCAAGTGCTGCACCAAGTACCCTGTCGCAAGGGCTGCTACGAACAGTTACTTACTATGAATAAGTTTGTTTATCATATAACTGTTCACTTGTTTCACAACATACAACGTTCTTATGCCATGTATTTGATGTCTCTATCCCTCTCTCTCTCTCTCTTCCATACAACCTCTTCCATTCTTATTATCTTAATTCATTTAGGATTAAGTGATCAACAATTCATACCACATTTCTCACTCTAACCTGTTTTGCTTGGTAGTAACCACGGAACTGACAACCGCTTACTACTATTGGAAATATATTTTTGATATATAATTTTTAATTATAATTTGTTTAAATATTTTCCTAATATTTTTTTTTTCTGTTTTTTACAGTTTTTGGACACGAAACTGGTGAATGCGTTGATGATGAATGTTACTAAACTACTTGAAATTTTTGTTTGATAGCGTTCAAATTTGTTATTTGTTATTAATTTTATATAAACTTAACTTTATTTCATAGTAACTTGCCGCGTATGTGATCAGGTCTAAGGAACTTTGTTATATGTTATTATCGAATTCCCTATTTTTTTGAACTTATATTTAAGCATAAATACATAAATACATAATGTAAATTCACTTCAGCTATTAAAGTGAAGTTAGGCGAAATTTTATTTATTAATTTTAAATTGTAATTAAATTGCGTTGTGAACTTTATTCTTATGTATTATTGAAATAAAATTGAATTTAACTATTTTGAGATGTACTTTACCTAAATATAATTCAAAACCTATTATATCTAATAAATAATATGTACATTCAAAAATCAAACATATTTGTTTTTATATATATAAGTATTATGAATGGTTAAGAATCAGTTCTCTCTTTAAAAATGCTTCAATCAATCAAAATAAATGAGATTATTAAAATAATTTCAAATATTATATGAGCTGAAGTTGGAAAATTATGCTCATAAAATACTATGTGAATCAGTTTTGTCGTAAGCAAATAATTGATCGCTTCTTCCTTGAACTGAAAGCAACAACATATTTGATGATCGACGCTCATTTGATCACCTTTCATAAACAATGCATTCAATTATTCACAGCGAAACACAAATTGAGAGAAATCAACTTAGATATTCTTCTTCTAACGGAGAGATTCTGTTTAAACGAGAGTTTCTGACAAATTGAGAGAAATCAACTTAGATATTCCTTTTCATTCCATTGCCATGTGGTTACAGTTGTACCTAACGAAGAGATTCTGTTTAAACGAGAGTTTCACACCTCCAAATCCGTTGTGCGTACTGCCAAAGTGATTGGATTCGTCGTATATGTACGGGTACCACTTGGAGACTGTAATTCCATCGGGTTTAGACTCATGTTTTATTTCCAGAAAAATAGTTAAAGAAGAGAGCAAAACCCTGACGATGGATTACAAGCGCAATGGCAGTCCTATAAGCTTTGCACACAGTCACAGGTCACTTCAAATAGGCAGCTTTTAACGTGGAGAACAGACGTCTTTGCAGCCAGTCATTATGAGGCCCTACCAGTAGCATGCTACCGCCGGCATCGCTCGAAGATTCTATGTAACTACTGGGCCTCTTTACCACGTCAAGGTGGCAGTCTCCTAGGAGGCAACTGAGCTATTGGCTTAGAAGAAATGTTCAGCTATTACAAACTGAGTATTTCTTTGATGTGTATGTTTCCTACGTTTTTAATAACTTAGAAAATGCAAATGTCTGAACGTAAAAAAAGTATTTAGTTAGGATGGACTACACATAATGAAAAATAACGTTAAAATTCTTCTAATAGTTAATAATTTTACATAAAGAAATGCAAAGTATTTGCTCAATAGAAGGATTCCAACAATAATGAATAAATAACAGCTACAAAAATTTTATTAATTTATTGAAATTTATTCATTATTTCTTCTAGTATTCTTTTCGTCATAAGACGCATAATATTGGACCAAAAAAAAATCGACCACAGTAATTGCTCTATGTTTGTATCAGTTGGGACAAGATTTTTGTTACGTTTATGTAGTAAACCAAAGTTTAATTAATTTCTGCATTGTACATCGGCATGAATCATCTAATGTAGTTTTTCCATGAGGTAGAATAGTTCAATTGAGTGCTTCCTGTAAAACTAAAAAGGCAGATTTACTGTCCGAACTGGAATCATATATCAAATTTACAATATTCCCCTCCATTCCTAACAAAACCAGTTGCCCAAAAAAATAAGGAGTAGTGCGAGCAATTCAATCTTCTTATATTCATATATGTTATAATATACAGTTATCCCATTATATTAGGATATCAAAAATACAAATATTAAATGAAGTATAAAAACGATTTTAAAAAAATTATTTTATTGTTTTAAAAAGTGAAATATCTGATGGAGAGCTATCGCAAAAAGAATTCGCCATTGGCAGGTTACTTGAAATATTTTATTGATCGCATCTAAGGCCTTAATATGGAAGTTTCATTGGATGTTCATTTTTTTCATATAATCTAGGAAGCTTCTATAAAAAAGATAATCATCATTGTATACAACGTTTTGTAACTCTGAGATATCGGACTCCATGATTTTTTTTTCTTTTCATATCTACTATATCTACGTTATCACGTTTACTGAACGCGAAAAGGACCTAAACATGGTATATAAAACTCTCGAACGTAAAATCGATGTTATAGAAGCAGAGAAAATTAAAGAAATAAATGCTCTGAAGGTACGCATTAATGACTTGCAATCGATTCGGCAGTTAAAGCAAAATGGCGACATGGAAAATATGACAACAGAGGTTAGTTAAGCTCTTGAATATTACATTTTTACACCTATTAATATCAATTATATTATAAAAATAATTTTGTTCAAGTCATACAAAAGTATATGCAAAAGCATATATGTCCAATGTATACCTTCTACGGAATTAAACTAATAAAAGGACCATGGTCTTAAAGAAAAATGATAAATTAATCAAAGCTTTAAAACAATGAAATAAGAGAGTTTAAATGTGATTTTTTTAGGCACTTTTATAGTGTGTTTATAGTCCCATATAGTATATATATTCCATATTTTGTAATAATATCAGTGATTTCTATTCGTATGTTTCTTTAATATAAAATAATTGTTTGGATGTGATTTGTGTTGACATCATCTTCCACATCTTGAATTGAACTTAGTCATTGAGAAATAGGCGTTCATTATACTCACTGAACGTATAAACATATAGTATATACATAATTAAATTTTTGCTATTGACTCTTTTGGGCTTTGTCGGAAATGTACGTATGTATGTAGAGTGTCACAGAAATTGTAATAAATTGCTTCTAAAATCCAAAATGTTGACATTTATTACTGAATAATACTGCTTTGCTTAAGTGATGAGGCACAGATAGCGTCGGATTTCACGACCAAATTTGAACCGACATATTGTTTTTTCTTTCACTGTCAATTTTTTAATTTACGGTGAAAATAATAACAATTTTGCTTATGATGAGCTTATGACGCTCTACATAAAATGGCACTACGACTTTATTGGATTCATATTAACTCAAACTCTTTTTGTTCTTCCATCAAAAGTGATCCCCATTTTCTGGTCCCAATGCTTATTTGTCGAAATGCACAGCTATTCCAGTGCTTGATCGTTCAGAACAACTTCAAATGAATCTAAGAATCTTTTTCAGATTCTTAGATTCTTTCAGTGGTCGTACGATGCCGGTAATCAAATTTTTTGAAGAGATACTAAAGAAGAAGAGATACCAATATGTAACCTGAGCATTTTGCCATTAAATTAGAAATGGAAAATAGCTGATCTTACTTCGAAGTCGGTCGATCGTTCGATCGTTCGACAGCATGATCGGATTGGTTTTGAATCTAAATTTGAAGAATGGAATAGAAGTTGAGATTGCAGTTACAGCTGAAACCGAAACTGAAGCTGAAGCTGGAATTGAGGATGAAACTAAGGTTAAAGGTAGGGGAATAGGAGAACATGTTTAGAACCACAAGTACGAGGACCTCGGCAACAAATTACATGTTGTTTTTTACGTAGAGATTCAAATCTTATCCACTCGTAAAGAATACAAAACTGACTGTTCCGAGCGCGTTCCGAGCGCGTGTTCCGAGATGCACCATACATAATTTAAAGAACCATTTATTAAAAGATTTATTGTGGGCATCTGTTATGTCTATCGAAGTTAGGAAATCCAACTCAGATTGCAGATACTGTTGAAAAGATTATGAAACTGCATATCATGTGCTTGGAGAGTGCCCAGCGCTGATTCACAAATAGAAAAAACACCTAGGAGGGTATTTTAAAAGGTTATTTTAATTAAATCTTACATTGTAAGATTAAGAGAACGAGATTAAGTTAATCTGCATTTTTAATCTCCACTGTTTACATTATGTATTGGAGATTAATTTTGACGTTCCCCTGTTGTTTTGGTTCGTTTATTTGACAAATTTCTGTAAAGAAAGCATTTAATTACAATTTTGTATAAAAAAATTGTAATATATATTTAATAAATAGTTTTATAACAATAATTTACAAATTTCAGTTATAATTATGTATAAAACTACTATTAAACAAATTTAATAGAAATTTTACTCCGGAATTTTTAAATTTTGAATGCTTGTTTGGAATAGATTTTGACATTTCTCTTTAAGATCGTAAAAAAATCTACGACATTACGACATTTCTTCAGAGATCGTAAAAAAATCTACGCTATTAAGCCAATTGCAGGGTTGCACAGAGAAATAATCAATAATAATAATAAAGGAGATTTAAAACTAATCTCAACTATATGGAGATTAAATTTTTTATGAGAAATCTTAGATTAACAACTAGGTTAGTAATTTAATCTCGACTTTTGCTTTAATCTACTTCTATTCACACAATGTAAACGCCGTATTAATGTTAAAAATTGCATACTCAAAATTGGTATAATATTAAGCGTATTTAGAGGCTATAATGTTGAAATATGAAATTTTTGCCAAATATTTTATATAAAATCTTCAAATTTAACACTTTCATAAATTACAGGATATGTTTTTTTTGATAAATGCTTAATTCGAACAGCTAAATCATCTGTTGTCCTTTTATTTACTTCTTTGTATTACTATTTAAAACTTTACCATTTACCATTTTTTATTTTAGCGTTTTAAATGATTATTGGGTGTTAAATAAAAAGCGTTAAAATCGAATATTTTATTTATTACTCTTAATTTCGACGACATATTGCATGTATTTCATGCACTGAATTACTGTGTAGATGATATTTACTAATACTTAAATAATAATTATAAGTTAAATAATAAGTGATATTGGGCCCTTAAGTAATACTTAAAATTTATTTACATGTTTTAGTATCAAGCACCTCACGAAATTTATCCTAAGGATGCTCACAAAAACATAAATGCAGCTTAAACTGCTTAAAATTCGTACATCTCTAAATAATAACTCTGTTGATTTCGCATTATTGTATAATCCTTATAGATTTTATATATTACAACAATATAATTTATTATTAATTTTATTTAGTTTATTATTTATTTATAAATTTTATGTCAAAGAAACGTTGACTTAAACTGTAAAAACACATATATATCATTCGCAAAATTTCTTATTGAAATTAAAGCAAATTTAATTAGATTTAATCAATTTTATAATGACAATATTTTAGTAAAATATTTCAAGATATAAATATTTTATAATACAAATATAAGATTCTTACTCAGGTAAGTTAAACCAGCCAACCACAACTGGGGACGGATACTACTAAATTATTACTTTCAAATAATTTCTTGTCACTGTAAATATTAAAGCAATTTATAATCTTCTCCATTATATCTCAATTACTAAGTTAAATTGGTTAAGTAAAATCGATTTTAAATTAACAATTATGAATTTATTCACTGCGCGTTTATATTTAGATTTGAAACTGTTGTCAAAAATTCAGGATGCTTTTTTCTGGGTATCTGATATCTGGATATCTTATAGTCCTTCCTATATTTTTTGGTTAACAAGTTCAGCTTTTTTCGACCGCAATGTAATAACATTTACATTAGCCGTAGTTTCTTCTTTCAGAGCTGTAAAAAACAACATAAGGTCTGGTTAAAACAAATTGGCATCACTTCTATAACATAATAATGCATATTCATGTAAGTACTATAGTTGTATTGCCAATTTCTAATTTCACTGTTCCATTTCTGTTGGATCTTTTAAACAGCTGAATGCTTATTTTCATTTGAAAACGAAAACGTATACGATGATAATTTTATTAGTACTGTCATCTCTATCTGTCAACGTGCAAATTCAAATGTTTTCTAAAATTTTCAAAATGCAACCCTGTGCTGGTGTAATATTTTTGACATAACAAATTTGTTTTATTGCTTTTGTTGAAATTTGCGCTCAGTTTCGGCGGCTTCTTTGTAAAATAAAGATTTTTAGTTGGTAAATAAATTTTTGGTTGGGATAGATTTAATTAAAGATCCGTAAATACATTTATAAATAACGTATTTTACAAAATTAAGTTTGTAAAAAATCTTTCCAATTGCTGCAATATGTCTGAAACTCAAAATTTAGAAGTTGCTCCCGAAGAGGACTCTGTCACCATGATGGATATCTTGCAGGAACAGCAGAATCTTGAAGAAGCGTGTGCCGCAGTTTTAGGAGCATCTGATGCTAAGCGTTGTACCTATGAAAACGGTCCTGTAAAAAGACAGGCATTGTATTCGTGCCTTACATGCAATCCTGTTGTGGGTGACAATTATGAAAACGCTGCTGCCGTATGTTTGGCATGTTCCATTAGTTGTCATGAAAATCATCAATTGGTAGAACTATATACCAAGCGTTTTTATCAGTGTGATTGCCCAACTGAACGGTTAGGTAGCAACCGTTGTGTTCTTAATCCTTCATTGAAACTGCCAATGCCCAATACGAAGAATAAGTATAATCAAAATTTTGCTGGTTTATATTGTAATTGCAAGCGCCCGTATCCAGATCCGGAGAATGAAAATGAGAGATCTATGATTCAGTGTGCGTTATGTGAAGATTGGTATCATTTAAATCACATTGATTATTCAACTGAGTCTGAAAAGGTGTGTGACTTAAATGCTGAAATGGTTTGCAATAACTGTATGAAGAAATACAGTTTTCTGCAGGATTATATTGGTTTATCGTTGCAATTTGTGGAAAACGCAAATAAGACTATTGATTTAAACACTACAGTAGAAGTCGGTGAAACTACAATAGGTTCTGATTTAGATGAAAGTATTATAAAAGCTTCGGAAGGCTTTGATAAAGCAGTTGAAGATGTGAAAGAAATGGCTACTTCCAAAATGAATGGTGAAAATGCCGACAAAAAACTAATTGAAAAGAGTATTCATGTTTCAGACATGGTTGAAATTAATAGTGATGAAATCGCGACTTCAAGTAAAATTGATAAACTTGACGAAGGGCATTTAAAAAGGAGTTTTGTTAATTGTGATCCAAAAAAGCCTACTTATGTACAGGATAATATTTCATCTGACGGAGCTTTGGAACCCATTACCAAAAAAAGGAAGTTAGCAGAAGAAGCAGGAACTGTGGGTGATAAAATCGATGGCGGTGAACAGTGTACTCGTCCAAAACAGTCTGACTATGTACAAGGTATGTAATGATAAATATGCTTTATATCTTATAACTTAAAGTTTATATTGACTAGATTTTGGATTTTTAATTTAATCATGTTGTGAAATTATTTGCAACATTTTTCCATACATTCTTATTTTTAACCACATACACATTTTCGTTTGCACAATATTATTAAACGCAGATATATAAGATTTTAGAGACCGATGGTGATATGGCGCGGACTGGTAGTTGTCCACAGACAGGTGAATAGGAAATTCTTATCTAGATTATTGACTCCTTTATTATTTGTAACCTATGCTGCGATTGGTAATCCCTAGTGGTAGAGTGGACATAAATCTATATGTAACATAATTCTGTACCAACAAGTGAAGCATAGAGTCTTTGTTATTCGTTTAAATCAAACTCTGTGTTCGATTCTGATTAACAGCTTTATCAGGTTGTCTGTAAATGAAATTATAATTAATCTTGTTCTTAATTCTTACAGTTCTGACATGTATAGATCAAACAAGTTGAGGCATAAATAATCGCTTTGAGAGATTTCCAGTGTAATTTTCCCAAACTTTAATTTAGTTTTTGTGAAATCTATGAAGTCCCCTTGACAGTTTAGATATGATAAAAGTTCGAGATATGATAATCACTTGATGATAACAAATATTGCAATTAATAATAGAGAATCAGGACACTTTCTTAATTTCCGTAGTATAAACATAATTCAAGTTTGACAATGCATTACTAGCTTAATTTTTAGAACTGTTGTATTTTACATTCCTAATTATTAATATAGACTAAATATTTTATAGGGATATGATTGGAAATATCTTTCCTTGTGGAAGAAGAAAGTAAGTAGAATGTATTTTAGCTGTAGTCCGTCTTGAATAGGTTCTAGCAGTACACATCTTTGGTTAGTAGCACATAAAAAGTCTTTAAATCCCTTTTTGTTACCAAGCTGATAGAGTTATACACTTTAAAATTGTCTGTGCGCTGACTCAAAGAGTAGTCCTTTTCTTCTGGCATATGAATACCGCATCCGTGGTGTTACAACAACCCATTATATGTGACCAAACTGGTTTTAGTGTACTTAAAAGATCTCCACTCTAACCTAACCAATAAAAAAAAACTAAATAGTTGCTTTTTATTGTTTTTGTTATGTTACGGAATTCTAAAATTGAAACAATAATGTACTAGAATAAATAGTCATAAGGTTGAATGAAATGAAAGAGTTTAGATTAAAATGTAATACAGGGTAAGAGAAGATAAGAGAGAGAATATGGTGACGTTGATTGAAAACTAGTCCTGATTGCAGTGCAAAAATCTTATTACAAGTACCTAAATAAGACAAAACCTTAGGCCAATGAAGCACAAATTTGTATGTAAATGGTGCGAGAGAATAGTTTTATAGGAACTTGCAGCTCTGCTAATATCTGTAGGCGATGCTTGCTTTAACATATGTTTATGGTACATAATATAAATGACACGGATTACGTAGCCAGGTCAAATTGTTTATTTTTGGAATAAAAAATTGTTTGCCTAATTTAAAATTGTTTAACATTAGAAGGATTTATTTTAAAATGTAAAACAAAAATAAATGGTCAATACGATGATAATAAATCCAAGTTTTTTTTGCCGTTGCCAAAGTAAGCAAAGCCGTGCTTGCGTGAATTTAATTTATGAAAGAATGTCATACCTGGCCATATCAGGGAACGTATTATAATTAGGCGATTTCGATGGTGTTTACTTAAGGTGAACGACTTTCCAAGTGGTATAACACTGTCAACAGCATCAAGAAAATCGGTTGGGTAATTGTAATCGGGTTTGCGGCATACATTACCTTTCATGGAATTGCGCGGTAAACGATACAATTGATAATATGATATATCGCCTAATTGGTTATCATCAAGGCCATGAAATAATGCATTGGGCGCACAACGGCCATCAATTAATTTATAAACACTACCACGTGGACATATACCCGCCTCTTCAGATATAACAAAAACCAATGCTGCTAAACGATCTTCTTCCTTAAGACGTACTAGCTCTGCAGGCCGTGCATCAACGACTTCATTCTGCTCAATTTTAAACACAGGATCCTAATAACAAGCAATAATTTAATTAAAAAATTAGAAAAAGCAAATATATATTTTAGTCACATACCATTTTGACTGGCATATATATTGTGGGATCACCTATGAATGGATCATGTGACAGCATAGTTGCTTGGAATATTTTCGGTGTGTGTATGAAAGGTAACAGCTGCCATATGTAACAATCATTACTGTAAAAATATTTGCGATCCTTTAGACAATCGTAAGTGTAACCAAAAGCAATAAAATAGTCATTAGCAATCCCATCAATGCGTCCCCAAAAGTAAATTCCAGTCATACGATTCTCAGTTTGTAAAATCAGTAATGAATGTTCGATCAGCATTTTTTCTTCCGGTGTAAGTTTTTTGCCTATGAATAAGAGACTATCAAGACCTTCCTGGAAGTAGTTCAGATTCATTTTGAAATTGTAATTTTAAAAAAATATAAACGGTTTTTTTTGTTTTTTTTTCGAATATTATTAACGAAATGATTTTTATTAAATAAACATTTTTATATGCTAAATTACAAATGTTCAAAGCACTCTATTCTAAAAATTAAAAAATATTGTTTTTTTTTATTGTCACTAGGTGCATTATTCTTTGAAGGTGCTACATTGCGCGAAATGATTTGTAGATGTGCCAAGTGCTTGGAATTATACAAATCATTGAATGTTGAATTTATAACTGACAAAACTGATACCACTGATTCGTATGAGGAGCAGGGTAAACAACGTGCGCCAGAGTCATCCACTTATGAACAAGGAATTAAAGCATTGGGAACAATGGGTCATGTACAACAAATTGAGGTTATAAGTGAATACAACGGAATGATGGCTAAGCTAAAGGAATACTTACAGGAATTTGCCGTTTCAAATCGTGTCGTCACCAAAAGTGATGTCAATGAATTTTTTGAAAATATGCGTAAGAAGAAGAGCGAGAACGGTGCTCCATCATATTTTTGTCGTTAAATGCAAAATTACTCTGATTTAAATTTATGTAGGTTTTACATTTTTATTTAATAATCAATAAAAAATTAAGTTTAAGTATAAGCAATAATTATTTGTCTTATTTTCATCTTCATTTTCTTTTCGATTTACTTTTATTTAAGCAAAATCATTTCAAACAAATTAAAATTATTTAAATTTAAAAGTATATGTTTATATATTATACACATTTTTAAAAATATATAATTATTTATATAAATATATGTTATATATCACTGTTTAAAGTAACATATTTAAGTATTGCTTGATCTTACCAGAACACTAAAAGCAAAATGTTTAAATATCAATTTACTCTTACATTTATTTTTTAGTTGTTAAATAATTAGAATATAAATAAAATTGATTATGGTTTGATAAACCCACAACGAATATAATAATTGGAAAAGGGATCAATTATTCATATATCTGTATATTTATATAAAAATCATTATATTTATATAAGAACCAATATTTACACTAAATCACATCCAACACATTCTCATGGCACATAACCCATTCCAATAAAACAAATAATATTATAGAGTTAGTTATTGTTATACTCCAATGTACACAAAACTTATTATAAAAAGACTAAAATTATAATAAAAACAAGTAAGGTATATCTGCTGTTATATTATCTTGATATTAAACTGTTATAACAAATAAAAGCAAAATTAAAAATGTAATAAATATGTTTTGAATTCAAACATATGGATAATATATTCCTGGGAGATGTTCGACATTATTGTGAGATTTCAATCGACTGCACATTGCAGAAGCATGTGCAGAAAAAGTCAACATACGGTCAAGTACGATACCCAGGATTTTAGGATTGGTGGTAGCAAGGAGCCTGCATTTACTGAGTCAAAGAAACTTCTTTAGTCCGGGAAGTAAAGAAAGGTGATAGGTGGCGGAGGATAAGTGAAGATTTCTATTATTTAAAAACGATGCCACAATGGTCATCTGCATACGTTATGATTCTGACTCCCCAGTATATCAAGTATAAGATGTAATTAAGATTTTCGCTTATTATGGAAATATTTTAATATCTTAAGTTCTGTTAGAGTTTTTTCGACTAAATAAAGGCAGAACAGATGTCTATTCTTGAATATTTTTAATTACCAACGACGTTGTTGATATTTATAATACTAATGGTTTTGTTTCTTTATTTCTAAGAATAATTATTGAATGGCTTGAAAAGTGTTTTTAATAATTAAGACAAAGATATAGTTTACAAAATGCCTCAATTTATATGCAACAATTACAAATAATTTTTATATTTTTTAATATTGCACCTGTGATTGTCCTTAAAAGTTTTGTCTAAGCTCTTTATAGAATTTCTGTTTATGATAAACTAATTGCAAATAGAGGTGCTGTGTCATTTCAAAGAAACACTGATCAGTTTTAGCTAACGAATATTACAACGGATTAAATGATCAAGTAGTTTTGGTGCATAAGACTGTCACTTCAACCCCTTACGGAACACTTAGTGTAATTTGTAGATTGGTTTAAATTAAAAGGCTACAGAAGCACCAATGCCTACTAATTAGAAAGTTGATGTAGAATTGTTATTAATGATAATTATTATCGTTTGACAAAATTATTATTCATTACGAATTGATTATTACTCATTATAGTTACGAATTGACATAATCCATGTCAAAGAAAATTAGAACTTTAAGAAATAAATTGGTTTTATATACGAGTACTATCTGTGCCAATATTTATATTATTTGATATTTATGAATATTTATAGTTGTAATAAAGACCTGGATGCAATGAATTTGTATACTTAATATGTAATTGTATAGAAAGCTACATCACCGGCTTTATGCCTAGCTAGTTATTTTAATAAGCCTTTCTTTTCAAAATTTGAAAAGTTGATTAATTTAAATTTTCTTAAACTTAATGTATAAGTAAGACATGTTTGTGGTGATCAAAATTCATTTATTAATTTTATATATATATATATATATCGATAATAATTATGTCGTTATCGATAAATTGGATATTCGTAAATTGTCTGATTGTGCACAAAATTTTCTCCATTTACACAGTTTAAAATTCCATTATGAGTGGAGTCCTCTGGTAAAAATTCCATTGTGTTTTGCAATACTTGGCGTTGTTGATATTGGTGTTGTTGATGTTGCTGTTGGTGTTGTTGATGTTGGTGTTGTTGATGTTGGTGTTGTTGATATTGGTGTTGTTGATGTTGGTGTTGTTGATGTGGTGTCTGTTTTTGTGTAACTGGTGTCACCAAATTCTTGAAGAGTGGTATATTTTGTATATTGGTACTATCATTTGGTGGCCACAGTGATGTTATGTTATTGTCATAAGCGATTGGAATATTGGGCAAATGATTTATGATATTATTAACAATATGAGAACTACCATGTTCATTATCGGTATTATTTTTATTGCTAACAATGCTGTTGTTATTGATGTTACTCATAGAATTTTGTGTATTCATTTCCTGGGTTGTTAACTTCATCTTATCACAGGTATCATCACTCATTTCAAGAGAATTTTCATTGACGTGTTGTTGTTGTTTTATGGCTACTTGTTGCTGTTGTTGCATATAATCTATGGAACTTGTTTGTTCTTTTATAGCTCCTACGTTCAATATTTCTCTCATTTTTACTTTACTATTGTCATTAAATCTGTTCATTAGGACTGCTGAGGAAGTTAATTTTCTCTTTATGGGAGAAACTAATTGTGAAGATGGTGACATTGTATAAGTAATGCACATTTGCTGTGAAAATGCAGCTGTAAAATAAACGAAAATATTAAATTAAATACTTTTTTTTAATAAAAATTGATTTTTTTTTAATTTATTGAAATAAAGTTGAAAATTAATTATAGTACATTATATAATATTTTGAAAAGTAAATATAATCACATTAGCTATATATATGATGATATATATGATTATATATATATGAGTATATATATGATTATATACATGATATATAGTACATTATACAATATTTTGAAAAGTTGATATAATAACTTATGAGTGGATCAAAATATAACAAGAGCTAATCATAAATGTTATGTATAAAATATATGAAAAACAAACAATGATTCTTAAATATAAGCTACCAGGATACATGAAGGGATAAGTATATCCCTACATATTCTAAAAGCGTACGAATACGAGAAACAATGGTTCAAATGTTCTTGTAGCTTTTGGTATAATCATAATAAAGGTGTAATATAGCTATCGTTTTGCTGTAAAAAAATCAAACAAACTGAGTTTTGTCTTCCGGAAGTGACTATATTTTTTTCCTAAGAGTTGTAGTTTGTTAAATACTTTCATTAATGATTAATAACGATGATGCTAATACATTATTGTGAATGTTAGAAGCCAATGTTTATATATATAGCATATATATAGCATATATATATAGCATATATATATATATAGCATATATAGCATATAGCATAATATATATAGCAATTTGATGAGATATTCGTTAACTTTAATGCAGAATACATTTTACTGTCACATGTTCTGATTTTTTACTGAGTTGCTATGATCCACCCCGATCAGAACTAAAACTATTTGGATACAATTTAAGATTACAAATAGGCTTTACAAGCTATATCTACCCGATTACTAAAAAACTATTTGGATACAATTTAAGTTTCCAAATAGCTTTTACAAGCTATATCTACCCGATTACATCCTTTGAAAAAAATGCAACTACTAAGGTTATTATGCTACTATGAAACGAATATATATATATGGTCATAAGACAATCGCTTTTTGCATAAACAATCAAGTCGAGTAAAATACTTTTAGAGAGATTCATTGAACACTGTCACGATGTTCTCCCAAGACGCAAGGTTTTAGGAATTTTTCTTAGCAAGCCCGTATTATTTTATGTACTACTGTTAATGAGATTGTATGTATGATATTTGTGATTGATTTCATAATTATTCCATAAAAACCGAAAATCAAAAAAAGTGATAAAAATAGAAACTTACATATATCTTCGATATCATTTTGAAATTGAGCATTTTGTTGTTTCTCATACTTTTGTGATTCTATTCTGAGTATATTCATTTGTGGTCCCCCAGTCTTAAGACGTTTACGTTTCATTTCATCTAAAAATGTTAGTGAAATTAAAACAACAATATTATCAGTAGTAAATACTTTAAATGATATAAAAAATTATAATTAATACAAAAACAACTTTAATTGCAATCGCTTACTATTTGGCAATTGGAAAGATGTCTTTTATTTTTTCACTTCTATTGCCGCCAATACTTTCACTTTCAAGTCGACCCTATGCAGTTTCTTCATATTCGTTCAAGGAGTCCGAACTATTTATCTTGTGGTACTATTATTAGTAGATACAGAATCGCTACATTCACTGTTAGCGTTTGGATCCGATAATAGTTAAGAATATTTAGTGTAAGTATTTACTAAAATTTCCGACCTATTTACTTATCTAACTTTTCATTACAGTTGAATTAAATTACGAGCTATCAAAGTTTCCTACATGGTTAAATTAAATAACGCTTACCTGAATCCGGATAGTACTCGAACGGCAAAGAATCGCTCTGAACTCCATCAGACGGTCGCACCAATTGAATAAAAACCTAAACATAGAATTTATGTTATGAAAATAATAAGTTATTACGTTTAAATTAGCTATAGTAAATAGTTACCTTTGCCTTCTCCAAAATATCTTGATTATGATAACGCGGAGCTTTAAATGCGATAGCTGTCTGCTTGTGTATATCCGTTGGCTGAAATTCAGCATAATCTTCCCAAATAAGTTCATTATCATTGCCCAGTTCATAAAATCGTATCTTAATTAACTTAACATCATCTTTGGCAATCTTTTCGCATAACAAAATAATTTCATTACCACCACCAACTTTTGCTGAACGACAACAAAGTCTTATTACGAGATCTGACATAGCTTTTTTATCATAAATTGGTTCCGATACAACAGGTTGTAATGGTTTCACACCTGATTCAGTTTTTAAGAATGCTTGGAAACATAAACGTACCACATTCAAATCAATACTGGATGGTTGATCTTTGTGTCCAAATCTTGCTAAAATATATTTAAACACGTTAATAAAGAAAATTTGTTAATTTAGAAAAAGTTACTTACTTCTGAATGGATCTACTTGCAGTCGCTCACGTACTTCCAAAGCAGATTTAATCTCACTCTTCTTCACACATTGTACACCTAAATTAGAGAAGACTGCACGCCGTGTTTCCCCAGTCAGAACAAGTGTACATATACCATCTTTACAACCATCTTTCCCAACTAAATAATGTGGATGTTGCCTATATGGTGGATCCTTTGTCACACATGATGCCACTATGACCACATCACCTTCATAACCCACAATCTCAATGGTGGGATATGTCTTATTTTCAGGTGTCGAATTTACACCTGGTATAGAACCAGCTGAACGTCCTTCGCATTTATAACGAAATCTTAGTGCTTTTGTAGCTGGTTGTTCCACAATATTAATGAATGGTTTTGGTATTGCGGATGTATTCTGTAGACTTTGTTGTGATCCTTGTGGTAACACCTGCGACTTTGAATTTATCGAGGTAGTTGGGAAGGATGTGTGCATTATAGATGTTTGTTCTGTGTTCATTTGTGGTTCTATTTATGTTTAGTTAATATATAACTTTGGTTATTATTACGAATATTTTAAACATCAACTCTCAAGAATATTATATATATTATTTTAGCTTTCAGCACTGGTGGAAGAAATTAAAGAGCACCTGAATAGTTACACCTACTATATCTTAAGTATATGTATGTACTAAAATTTACTTAAAAATGCTTTCCTATTTATACTATTTTTCTTAATACTAATTGATTATATTTCGTAGACATAGGTTTGAAATAAAACAAGTGGACAGTTTTAAAAAGGTAACCATAAAACAATTACACCTCTGAGAATCCCGTGCGTTTTGTTACTTATACAGGTAACACATTTGACCGTAATCACCATTTTCCGGTTATTTGGAAAATGTTTTAGTTTAATTATTTTAAATACGACTACAATGTACCTGTTTTATTCAATACTAACAAACAATTATTTATGTATATTATATATAAGTATTTATGCATATATATATATAATACTATAATAAGAACATAGTATTTGGAAACTATATTGAATCTATTATTAGAACTCCTTTAAAAACCAATGTGCAGCCTTATACAGTTTTCGAGATCAATTTCATAGTACAAGATGTTTAGTTGGATATAGTTCAAATATTTAGTTGATAGCTTTAGGACATCTATAGTTTACCCTCTATTAATAACGTTTTATATTCAAATCTATAAAATCCGAGCTTCATAAATGTTCAAATAATAAATATTAACAGTTTTTTCGAAAACATTTTTAAAAACATATTTAATTATTCTTAAACATAAACACATTTATAATTTCTCAATAGCATTATTTAAGGAAAAATCAAACTAAAATCCTTACACCTTCAATCTAACTATACTGATAGTTACTTTATTCTCGTACGCATTATTGACCTGCCTTACTTAGACACTTGGATAATAATAGCAAAGCAGTGATACATATACTACATTCACTATAAGTCAGTCACTATAAGTAATTTTATTTTTTTTTCGATAAGCTATTCGTCGATGGATAGTAAAACATTGTTACACCTTATAATATATCTCTGAAACGGCATATCTACGTCGTATGTATATGAAGGTCATTGTGATCACTTGTAAACAACAGTATCAACATCACGTACATATCAAAAATTTAACTTGAAACTAAAATTAATAAATATGGTATATAAAATATGATCTGAATGATCTGAAATAAATAATTTAAACCTTTCTAAGAAATGATATATTATCCGCATGATAATTTTCTATCTATCCCTATGAAACTTACCTACCTGATTAGAATTTTCCAGTTTATGCGCTTACTATGTACTGCCTATTTTGGATACGGTCTTGACATTTTTTTTATATTCTTCAAGATTCAAAAAACGTTTCGTTAGAAATAAATTGATCCAAAAGAGTTGCAAAGTACCTGAATCAGTTAACTTAGATTTTTCTTAGTAAAAAAAATAAATTTTAGCAAAAAATTTAATAATATCAAAAAAATGTTGGCAGTATTTTGTTTTAAAATTTTATTAAAAATAAAGAAAGTAGGTAAAAAGTATATGTATAATATATACTATAATATAGCCTTCGATAGCATTTGTTGAGATTCATTGTTCTTTAGACTAAACCTCTAAGTTCTTTCAGGATAAGGAAAGAACTATAAGAAAGAATGATAAGGATTATGTTGTTATCGATAAGTTGGATAATCGCAAATCATCTGAAGTGAAATTTATGAAATTTTCACCATCTACAAAGGCTAATAATCCACTAAGAGTGGTGCCCTCCTCTCCTGAGACATTTGGTAAAAAGTTCATTGTATTTTGTGATGGTTGGTGTTGATGTTGTTGGTGATGGTGATGGTGTTGTTGCTGCTGTTGGCATTCGTTATTGTGTTGATATTGGTATTGCTGTTGGCGTTGATGCTCTTTATTCTCTTCATAAACTAAAGGTTGTTGTTGTTGCTGATCTTGTTGATGTGATGGCTGTTGTTGTATTACTGGCATCATTAAATTCCGGAACTGTGACATATTTTGTAAATTGGCATTATCATTAACTGGTGAAAGTTCTGATTCGACTTCGGTCGCAGGTAACGTTGGTATGTTCCAGAAATTATTATTCTTCATATTTGCTAAAAATAGTTATTATTATTTTACATATTATTTTTATAGTAATAAGGAACTAATACGCCGAAGTATAGATGAATTTTATAAAAAAAATCAGAGTTAATAGCTTGCAAATATATCATATATATCATATATATACGATATATCATATCGTCTTTCTCTACTGTTTCTATATATGTATGTATGTATGAAGTATGGATAATCACTAAGTGCAAAATGAAGTACCAAGCACTGTGAATTATAGTACCTAGGACGAATGATGAAAGAACCTCAACCAAAATAGAAGAAGAAAAAGATAAACTTACAAGTATCTTCAATATCATTTTGAAAATGGTAATGTTGTCGATTAGCATATTTTTGTGATTCTGTTCTGAGTATATTCTTTGGATGTCCGCCAGTCTTAAGACGTTTACGCTTTGTTTGATCTAAAAACATTAAAGAAGCATTACATAATGTTACATATAGTTATATAATATTAAACATAAAATTATGTTAGAATATATAAATAAAATTACAAAAAAAAAGTAAATAAATATGTAAACAACTTAAAAAAAATCATGATATGAGGAGGGGGAAGTGCTATGAATTTCGTTCGCTTTATTGATAAAACGTTTTGAATTTAAGAACCGTATTTGTATTGTATTCTGTTATTTATAATTTTTCAATATATGGTATATCTTTTATATAACGGTAAACTATTCATTGAACAGCAAGACTTCTGACGCGATTAATTATTTCTTTTTAAAACGATATTTTGCGTCTTAGCTGATCAGATCATTTCTTGTCAAAACTTAGCTAGTCAGTTACAATAGCATCTGAGTATGTTGGTGTTATTTGACTATTTATTAAATATTTTTACTGAAATGTCTCGATATTCTATTTACGTTTTCGGCATAAATAATTAAAAGTATACACACCTAGATCCGAATAGTACTCGAACGGTAAAGGTTTGCTCTGAACTCCATCAGATGATCGCACCAATTGAATAAAAATCTAAAAATAAACCATCAAAATAAACGTCAAAATTTCAAAAAAGTACAAATGTTGTGATTCATTAGCCACTTTTACTCTAAAGTTACCTTGGCTTTCTCTGAAACGTCTTCATTATAATAACGAGGAGTTTTAAATGCGATAGCTGTCTGCTTGTGTACATCCGTTGGCTGAAATTCAGCATAATCCTCCCAAATGAGTTGATTATCATTGTCCAGTTCATAAAATCGTATCTTAATAAACTTAATATCATCTTTGGCAATCTTTTCGCATAGCAAAATAATTCTATCACCACCATCCACTTTTGCTGAACAGCAACAAAGTCTATAAATTACAAGGTCCAATATAGCTTTTTTATCGTGAATTGGTTCCGATACAACAGGTTGTAATGGTTTCACACCTGATTCAGTTTTTAAGAATGCTTGGAAACATAAACGTACCACATTCAAATCAATACTGGATGGTTGATCTTTGTGTCCAAATCTTGCTAAAATATATTTAAACACGTTAATAAAGAAAATTTGTTAATTTAGAAAAAGTTACTTACTTCTGAATGGATCTACTTGCAGTCGCTCACGTACTTCCAAAGCAGATTTAATCTCACTCTTCTTCACACATTGTACACCTAAATTAGAGAAGACTGCACGCCGTGTTTCCCCAGTCAGAACAAGTGTACATATACCATCTTTACAACCATCTTTCCCAACTAAATAATGTGGATGTTGCCTATATGGTGGATCCTTTGTCACACATGATGCCACTATGACAACATCACCTTCATAACCCACAATCTCAATGGTGGGATATGTCTTATTTTCAGGTGTCGAATTTACACCTGGTATAGAACCAGCTGAACGTCCTTCGCATTTATAACGAAATCTTAGTGCTTTTGTAGCTGGTTGTTCCACAATATTAATGAATGGTTTTGGTATTGCGGATGTATTCTGTAGACTTTGTTGTGATCCTTGTGGTAACACCTGCGACTTTGAATTTATCGAGGTAGTTGGGAAGGATGTGTCCATTATAGATGTTTGTTCTGCGTTTATTTGTGGTTCTATTTGTGTTTAGTTAATATATAACTTTGGTTATTATGACGAATATTTTAAACATCAACTCTCAAGAATATTATATATATTATTTTAGCTTTCAGCACTGGTGGAAGAAATTAAAGAGCACCTGAATAGTTACACCTACTATATCTTAAGTATATGTATGTACTAAAATTTACTTAAAAATGCTTTCCTATTTATACAATTTTTCTTAATACTAATTGATTATATTTCGTAGACATAGGTTTAAAATAAAACAAGTGGACAGTTTTAAAAAGGTAACCATAAAACAATTACACCTCTGAGAATCCCGTGCGTTTTGTTACTTATACAGGTCACACATTTGACCTTAATCACCATTTTCCGGTTATTTGGAAAATGTTTTAGTTTAATTATTTTAAATACGACTACAATGTACCTGTTTTATTCAATACTAACAAACAATTATTTGTGGGTATGTATTTATGTATATGTATTTTTATATGTATATAATGCTATAATAATATAGTATTTGAAAACCATTAATACAACTTTTTTAAAACCGAATGCACAACCTATTACAATCTTTGAGATATATATGGAATGAATGGAATTTTCGACATTATATGGAATACGCCTACTATGCACTGTCTTTTTTGGATACGGTCTTTATATTTTTTTTTCATGTTCGCCAGCATTCAAACATTAACCTAAATCTAATCCAGGACAAAGTACCAAAATCAGATAACATTATTTCGTAAAAAAATGAAGTTTAGTTGAAATTGGTAAAAATGGCAATACTCGTGCTTAGGGCGTTGTTTCGGAACGTAGGTAGTGGCTTAGTTGTAGACCTTGTAATCAGGGTGACTATTGTAGATGTGTTGGATATGATTTAATTACTATTCCTATTTGAATAACATGCTTTTAAATTCAGGCAACTTCATTTTGTATTTTTTCATGACATGCTTCGTATTGGGTATTAGCTAAGGTCATAAAAACTTTCTAAAGTTTTTATTATTTCAAAACAGCTAAAGATTAATCCGTAGTTAACTCATACAGGCACATTTTTGAGAGACTATAACTATATAATATTATGGATGCGCTATTGTCAGCTGTTTATTGACAAATTATAGAAAAGTATCTTAAAATTATATAGAGTAAGTGTACAGTAATATGAAATTGAAAACATTTAAATATTATTATGAACTGTAAATTTGATATACTATATTATATTATAAATGTGCTTTGTTTACGTTGACTTCCGCATCCACAAAATAGATTACTCTCTATAAATTTTCTCTGATAAATTTTCTTTAATGTTTATAATAGAATGGTTAACCACTGCTGAGCATATTATTCAATTATCGACTAGTATGTAATCACGTAGTAAAGTAGTAACCGATTACTATACGTAGCCAAGTATTGTTGTATCTTCGGCTAAATTACCAGATGCGAGTATAACAACCGAGTTGATGTTTTTGCGCGCACTCGCTTGTAAAAGAACGGGCTTATAATAATATTTGCTAATCTCTTTTAGGACTTGTCACCTATCTCAATCCTTACTTGAAATTAAATAAAAGTTGATACTTCAATTTGTCCAATTTTATTTTGCCAAGAGTTTAACTTATAAAATAAAGATTCTCTATGTATTATTGTACATACAAAAGATTTTTTGCTGTTTTTTTTTTGTGTCCTTAATTCTAATAAAATTATTTGTGCTTAAATAATAATTAACGATATTGTAAACATTTTTGATGCAACTGAGATTCTAGTTTTGAAATATAAAAAGTATTAAAGTAAAAAATGTTATAAAACAATTCCACATTGATAACAACATTTATATATATTATAACATTCATATATTATGTTGTTATCGATAAATTGGATAGTGGCAAATCGTCTGAAGTGAAATTCACGAAATTTTCACCATCTACAAAGGCTAATAATCCACTAAGAGTGGTGCCCTCCTCTCCTGAGACATTTGGTAAAAAGTTCATTGTACTTTGTGATGGTTGATGTTGGTGTTGGTGTTGATGTTGGTGTTGGTGTTGTTGATTTTGTTCATGAACTGGTGATTGATGTAATTGCTGATTTTGTTGTTGCTGTGGTTGCTGTTGTTGCATTACTGGCATCACCAAATTCTGGAAGAGTGGCACATTATGCATATTGGCATTATCATCGACTGACCAAAGTGGTGTGATACTACCGCCACAGGTGGTTGGAGCATTGGCTAAATGATTTATAAAGCTATTTATAATTTGGGAATCACCATTTCCATTAGTGGTAAGATTTCTATTGGCAGTAATACTTCCATTGCCATTGGTGTTATTCATAAAGTTTTGTGTACTCGTTCCCAGAGTTGTAAATTTATTCATATCACAGGTATCGCCATTCATTTTAAGAGAATTAAGTGAATTGTCATTGAGGTAGAGTTGCTGTTGTTGTGTGGCTAGTTGTTGTTGTTGCTGTGCGGCTAGTTGTTGTTGTTGCACATATCCGGTAGGACTTGTTTGTTCTCTCATAGTTCCCATGTTAAAAATATCACTCATTTGTGTTTGACTATTGCCACTAAATGTTTTCATAAGACCTGGTGAAGGGGTTGAGTTCCGATTCATCGGAGAAACTGGTTGCGGGGATGGTGACATTTGATAAGGACTACGATATGATCCAAAATGTTGTGCGAACGTAACTGTAGAAATAATGAATACATTAATTTTAAAAATTTAATAACTTTTGTTTCATAAATAAAATATGAGAAATAAATATGTGAAATAAAATAGCAAATTAATTATTAAACAATTGATGGCAGTAAGTTTTATGTTCATATTAACATACCTATGACTGATAATGTCTTCTCATTCAGTGAGAATCACAATCAGGATTATAGTGTAATATTGGTGTATGTACGAAAATGTCTATATTTAACATATAACTGATGAAGACTTAATTTTTCAGGGCATATAACCCATAAAACTTATCATATTACTATTTTGCTAACTCTTCAATTAATTAATGTGTAATAAAGTTTTTCAAAAAGTGTCATATGTATGTTGGATCAAACATTTCTCTGCCAATCACTTATTTAATAATTTATTCAAGAAATGTCATATATACGTAAAGTTCCTTAGATGTGAAAATATAATATAATATGATATTGATTAGTTCTGTAAACTAAGGTATATGGATCAGTTATAAGGATGGAATTATTACTATTTAATAATAATATAATTAAATGTAATTACCTGGTTCGGCTTTGATGTCAGGCATCATTGGTGTATTGCAGAAATAATTATTGTTAATATTTGCTGAAAATATAGATTATTATATTACACATTTAATAAAATTGTGAACATTTTATTAATTAAGCACGAATGAGAATAATATGAAGCAAGTAACATTATCATCAACCCATTTTTGCATAAATCTTAATTAAATTAATTTTTATTAAAACAAATTTAAAATTAATATAATTAAATCAAATCATGTTTAAATAAATTAATTTAAAGTCATTTATTTTTGTGAAATCGCTATCTTATTTATATACTCGCATAGTATGGTATTTATGGTTGGGGAAACTATACGATGACTAGATAATGACTAGAATCCGATATGTATGCTAGACATAATAAATTTCATAAATAATTTTAATAAAATATATGCGGTACATAAAAGGATATATATTCAAAAACATAATTATTATTTTACTCGTACAAAATTGATATCGATTTCCGTACCGATAATTATTTATATTGGATATACCTATAGAAAAATCACTTGTGTGGATATAATTTGTGTTTGAGTTAACGACCTTGCAAATAAATGAGAACCCAGATCCTTGTATATGGGAGCCCATATACTGTATATGGTTTTATATGTACGTAACTGTATTGTATTATATATACTATGTTCCAATGGATAGTAGTGAAGTGTAAAATGCAGTTCCCATCATTAAAATGTTTATAATTCATAGAGCGAATGTGAATTAAATGAAATTCAAATGATCTACTTGTTTGGTAGGATGTAGGGTACAAAAGTAAATGAAAGAAAAATAAAAAGGGAAAAACTTACAAATATCTTTAATATCATTTTGAAATTGAGCATTTTGCTGTTTCTCATATTTCTGTAATTCTCTTCTAAGAATATTCATTGGGTTTCCGCCAGTCTTAAGACGTTTACGCTTGATCTGATCTAAAAATGTTAAAGAAGCATAAAATAAAAATTCGCAAAATTTAAAATAAAAAACAATTGCTATATCAAATAACATAAATAAGAATATTGAAAACATATGTAGGTAAAAAAAGATATATAAACATAATTTAATATAAAATAAATCTATAAAAGGAGAAATTTTCAGAATTTCGTTCGCTTGTTTAATGACAGTTTAACAGTTTTTAAAAGCAGGAAAGAGTCGTAGTTATTATTGCCTGTAGCTATTATTAATGATTTTTCTATATGTATTTTTTATATGTCGATCAACTCTTCACTGCAGACCATTAGCTTCCGCCAACCGTCGCGCTATCTCATTTACCGACAACAGTTGACCACTTTCGATTTGTTCTTGATAGTTTAAATGATCGATACAATCACTTGCATTTGAGGGAACGGGCGGCACGCTTGTATATAATGCGAAATGTTCTGCCTCTGACAAATCAACATCAGGATCAAGGACAACCCCATAAGCGCCCTCGCACAGATTCTTAATGCTCTGGCGATCAGCAATGGCTACCAATTCAATGTTTCCATCATTAATTGGTATGTCTGCCAATTGTAGTGCACTTATTGTTTTACGATCAAGTTGATGACCAAACGTTATGGTACTAGCATTAGAGTAGGCTTCCTGCTGTGGCAAGCTACTTGCGCTATCGCCTTTGAGTGGTATATGTATGACATCAGCATTAAGATGTGCCGGTCGTTTCCCAGATACGCTGCTCACACTTCGTCCCACCGGCTTGCTACCTTTATTGGCGTTTGTACTATTCTGTGGACTAAGTCCAGGAGTATTTGAAAATATCTGCTGAAAAATTAAGTTTACGGCGCAGACGCGTAAAAGTACGCATACCTGGATCTGGGTGGTACTCGAATGGTATAGATTCACTTTGAACTCCATCAGACGGCCGCACCAATTGAATAAAAACCTAAAAATAAAATATATAGTTAATGCAAAGAGTACAAAATATTAACGTTTTCAGTTACCTTTGCTTTCTCTAATACGTCTTGATTGTGATAAGGTGGAGTTTTAAATGTAATAGCTGTCTGTTTGTGTATATCTGCTGGCCGAAATTTAGCAAAATCTTCCCATACAAGTTGATTGTCATTATTGAGCTCATAAAATCTTATTTTAATAGTCTTAATATCATTTTTGGCAATCTTCTCGCATAACAAAATAATTTCATCACCGCCACCTACTTTTGCTGAACAGCAACAAAGTCTACAAATGACGAGGTCTGACATAGCTTTCTTATCAAAAACTGGTTCCGATACAACAGGTTGTAATGGTTTCACACCTGACTCAGTTTTTAAAAAAGCCTGAAAACACAAACGTACCACATTTAAATCTATGCTCGCCGGTTGATCTTTGTGTCCGAATTTCGCTAAAGAATGTGAGACGTTAATATACCATAGATAGCTTATAATTCTTTAAAATTACTCACTTTTAAATGGATCCACTTGTAGACGCTCACGTACTTCCAATGCAGCTTTGATGTCATTTTTCTTCACACATTGTATACCTAAATTAGAGAAAACTGCTTGCAGAGGTTCGCCGCTTAAGACAAGGGTACATATACCATCTTTGCAACCATCTTTGCCCACCAAATAATGTGGATGTTGTCTATATGGCGGATCCTTTGTAACACATGATACAACTATGACAACATCACCTTTATATCCCACTATTTCAATAGTGGGATACGTTTTATTTTCGGGTGTAGAATTCAGGCCAGGTATAGAACCGGCCGAACGTCCCTCACATTCACTTTTATAACGAAATTTAAGTGGCTTTGTAGCTGGTTGTTCCACAATATTAATGAATGGTTTTGGTGCGGATTTGTATTGTAGATTTTGTTGTGATCCTTGTGTAAACACCGGTGACTGCATATGGGTTGGGGAACTTGGAGATGATGCGTTCATTAAAGCTGTTAACACTGCGTTTATTTGTGGTTCTGTTTGTGCTGTGGATGCTCCATTAATATCTATGCTTTGGTTATCAAGAGTGTTTAAAATATCAACTGTGAAATAGAAAGAGAATATATATTGAATATATATTGATATATTGATTAATATATTGATTTTGGTTATTGATTATATAATATATTGATTAAAAAGCAAGTTCAATTTTTGAAATTGAATTTATAATCTTTGTATTCAAAAGTCTTTTATTTTTCCTAATATCAACTTCAAATGACACTCTTTACCATTAAGGAGCCGTCATTAAGAGAAGTAAGAGAGTAAATCATTAACAGAGTAAATTCTTTGCAATTGTACTATAGTTCATTTACTAGAACATGATTATATTAGGTATATCACACATAAGATATTAGATGCTTCACACATATCCAAGCAGCATTAATCTCCACATTCTATAATATACTTCATTGCAGAACCTGCTATCTGAATATAGGGCTCTTTCATGAGAAAAACACAAATTAGGTGACATAACGAGCCATTAATGCCAGAAATTAACACTGCACTCTTCTATAATACATTCACAAGATTATATCCTTTATAACCTTTATATCCTTTCTAATAACTAAGTATGCCTAACAAGTTTCCACCTATTGTACGGACATAATCTTAAGGAAAGCTGCTGTATAATTCTTATAAATACTTTTTTCGAGAACTTAGAAGAACTGAAAAAGCCTCATATTGAAAGCCTCAAACATTCTAAGTGAAAATAAATAACAGAACTTCTTTAATCAAGACAGTATACACGTATCTTAAAAACATATATAAAAACAACAGCCATAAGGCAGTGGCACAGATATATACATAGCCTATGTGGAGTACGTCACTCGGCCTTAAACTTAAACATAGAGCTAAGTATAAACATTTAACACATTTGCTATTATCCATTCAATCAGTGTGAAGTACACTAAGCTGAGAATATGTCGGACATGCGAGTCTGATCCTATTTTAAAAGATGATCTTAACAAATAGTAATGTGTATAGCTAAACGCAGATAGTAGTAAAAATAGATTACTTACGCTTATTAATTATTTCTGTTTTTATATATATTAGTTGAATTTTTATGTTGTATCATCTTTGAGACTAGAAGGCAGTTCCACAACAATGCCTTTTGATTATTGATTATGATTATTGATTATGAAAGACTTTCTATCCTATATAACATTGTAGTGTGACTAACGCATTACTATAGTTTTCTTATACGGGAACCTATCATATATTTGAAATATTTATAAGGAAACTCGAATATAATAGTTTTCCCGTTCTGGTTCTCAAGGTTTTAATAGTTTTTCGATAGTTTTTTTGTAAGGAAAACTATTGCAAAATCGATTGTTTAGATATTTGGGAGGAATAACGAAGATAAAATTTATGCTTTTATTAGTTTAATTAAATTTACAACTTTCCTAAAGATTGTCTAATCTTAGTGAAAAGTTAATTAAATTGACTAGTTCCCCCGATTATAACTAGAATCAGAGAAACTAGTCTTACACCTATGTCTAGGAATATTGACTTTGTAGGAATATTTTTCATTCACAGTATAACAGAAATGACATACATTATAAGTGTTCTAAGAGCGTCTGTCACTGGTCTGTCACTGATAGAGTAAGTATATGCGCAGCAGACCTCGAACAGCTAAAGCAAGAAGTACTTAAGATGTTTATACGATCCAAGTGTATTTATCGGCTGGTAACTGAGCTAATTGCGACCATTTCGGATTCAATTCAACTTTTGTAATTGAAAGGAATTTCGTCTTCAAAAATTGCGGTTTCTTCGGTGCCAGATGCGAAGTCCGACGTCATCAGAATTCAGTTTTTCAGTTTTTCAGTTTTTCTTCATTTAATATTTATTTTAGGAAATTATTTTAAAATTATTTTAAAATAATTTTGAAATTATTTTTGTTTAAAATACATTTTAACTTACTCGTATGTCGATTGTTTATAACGAAATTTACGTAAAACTATTTTCATTAATTTTTTTGCCTTCATTGTGGCTAAGACTTTTGGATTTAGTGTTCTCTTTTGTGGGTTGGTAAATGGACAGAAAATGTTCGAATTTTATTTTTAGGGCCGTAATTAACCCGGCGAATGATTGACTTATAGCACCAATTTTTTTATTATAATTTGCTTTGCTTTCTTTTATTGTTGGTTTTATTGTTAATTGCTTAATTGCTTAAATAATTAAATTTTTTTCTTGGACCTTCGATTTGTTTAAATGAAAGATTTTGTATGAAAGGCAATGAGAGAGAGATATTACTGATAAGACTTATTGAAATTTTTTTAAATATTTTTGCAATAAATTAATTTATAATTACAATTTTCTTAATCGTTTTCGTTTTTTTTTGTTGTTTGATTTTTAATTAATTCAATTTAAATAATTGAAAATGAGAAAAGTTTATTAAATTTACTTCTGTTAAACATTTTAACATTTTATGTCAGACGTATTCTTACGTCACTTTTTTATGTGATCCAATTTGTTTTAAAAAGTATTGTAACTGCTAATATACAATATAATAATATATTAGTAAACAATAAAATATATCATATTATTATTTAGTAAAAAATAAAAACAAACTTTTTATATTGGTCAGCTAGGAAATTGTGGAGAAAAGAAAATGTTCAAAAATCTTTTGATGTTTAGAAGGTCTAGATTTTATATATAGAACTTCTACGTATTTTTTTCTCATATATTATTTTATTTATTATTAATTTATTAAATAAGTTTTTTTTTTTTTTGAAGAACTTCTTACCTAAGCTGTAATTTGGTATATAATAAGGATCCCTCGGGATCTCCACTATATGGTTAATGTGTACAGAACGTTTTTTTACCATTATGTCTTCACTATTAAAGCATTAATAGTTTAAATTCAATTTATAATTATGTTTCATATATGTTTAAATTTTATATTAAACAATACTGAAAGAATTTTTGAATATTTTAAGTCTTAAAGTTGCTAACGTTAAGCTTTGTTCAGTTAAAAACTTTATGCCACTAAACACTTGACATGCACTGTAAATTCCGATTTATTGGCGAGTGTTAGGTCCACATATAAATATATTATTATTTAATACTTGTGTATTATGAGATATTAAATTTGAATGCTTTCAAGTGATTGTCTATTTAATTGGCTGACTTTTTAATACTTTGAAGTATGTTTAATTATTGTTAGTTTAGTATATTATTATTTTTTTGTAGTTGTTAGCATTTTTGATATATTTTTATTAATTTTATTTTTATTGAAGGCACTTAGTCATATTTATATCAGACAATTCCATAAAAATATCTTCCCAACAATGTTTATTTTCACGTTTTTAATATATTTTGTTTCGAACTGAGCTATAGTAATCCGATATTGCATGGGTACTTTCCCAAGTGTCTTTGTTTATATTATTTTTAGGTTCACAATTTCTAATTAATTTCAAAATTTCAGTCAGAAATTAAGTGCAAAATTAATATGAAAATTTCTTGAGTTCATTCTTCTTGTTTGCTCTTCGACACTAACTAACGCTGAAGCCTCTAAGCAAGCTCAATTTATGTTGCCTACCACATATATTATATATATGTTTGCTTTAATTTAAATATTTATTATTATTGTCAAAATATATATTTTTTATTTTCATTTAAAATGATAACACGAATTAATGTTTCATATTGCCAAGCATCATTTCTGGACCTATCTAATGTTGAGTTCAAGCGATAACAGCGACTTTAGGACTGAAGTGATTTAACAGTACTTAACTTCTGTGGCACTTTCTTATATTCAAAAACTCTCTGAGTTGTAGCCCTCACATCATTAGAACTGCAAGTAGTAAAACACGTTTAACAGTCGTTTGAAATTATAAATAATTGTGTTGTATTACATACATTTTTTTTTTACTTCTCAAATTTTTTTTAATTTTTTTTTAATTTTTTTTTTCATCAGAGGTAAAGTAATAATTTGCGGTTATCTATATTTTATATATAAATTTCTGCCTGAGCAGCTGCTACTTTCTGCTACTTTACTACGAATGTTAATTTTTTTCTCGGGTTTGAGTGTGAAAAAAATCAAAAATGGAAAAACCCAGATTAGTTGAATGAATCAAAGTTGTCCAGTCCAGCAGCAAATTAAAATTCTAAATGGATGAGAGCGTTGGGGGCAGGGCTCGGGACAATGTATGTGACGTAGTGGGTTGTGGGGAATTCCAGATCTTAAAAATTAGTGGGTTTTTTTCTACAATTTCTCCCAGTCAAGCGTTTCAAGTTTTGATATTTGTTCTCAGAGTTAATAATATGCGATAATTATCATAAAATTAATGTTCGCATTGAATCATTTAATTAGGGATTGGAATTAGAAACGCTGCTTCTCAAATTAACGATAAGAAAAGTAATGTTTGATATTTTTATTTTTTATTTACACAAATTTATAAGTGATCATTACAAGTTTTTATATACATTTTTTCAAATCTTAATTTTTAAAATGATAAATTTGAAAATAATAAATACAAAAATAATTTCTTTTAAATTTGCAATTTTTTTCTTAAAAAAATCTAGAAATTATAGACATATACATATTAAAGATAATGACAATGGTGGAAGGTTATTCCTTAGTATAATATGCTAATATGCTCACAAGGGATGCTATAACGTATGCAAGAGAGGTTAAGGTTTCCAAGCTATATATACTAACCCGAATTTGGAAAAATGAAAGAATTAAAAAGCTAGTATGAATTAAAAAACTAGTATGAATAAAAAAACTAGTATTAGATGCAGCACCAAAGACCAGGAGAAGAAGTTTGGAGATCAAACCAAACAGATCACCTTCAATATATATAAAATCATTACACAGTATTTTTGAATTACTTTTCGTAAACCCTTTTCAATAAGTCTTAGTAAAAAATTTTATTGCTTATCTCTAATATATCAATTTTTTTTATTTTAAGAATTGATTTAATAGAGAGATATTGGTCCTTCACATGTACTGTTTTTCAACAATTGTCCTGTTAAGTGAACTACCATAGTTGGGTTTTCCAAACTTATCTATGTCCAATAAGGTTGCACCAACTTCACCAATATTCTTTTTTGCTCAGTTGGCTTCAAGTATATGGTAATTACTTAAATTTTCCTTTTTATCCTATTATCCCATTTTATTTTCTATTTATTCGTGAAAAATATTTGTTCTTATTGCATTCCACATAATTTCATAAAAGCTTCATAGAGCGATCTTGTCAATTGATCATATCGTTGTAAGAGATATGTTTCTGATTCCGAAAGATGATAGATGGCGAATCATGGATCTATGTATATAAGCAAATTAGTGAACCGTAGTCGACTGTAAGTGTGTTTTTTTTTTGGAAGATTTGTTTACGTCGCACTTACTTTATTACATCAACAAAGAACTATGACGCCGAAATAATGAACTAAACATCACAAAAATACGAGTTCTCATAAACTTGAATGAGTTACTTCTTGACTATTCCAAACATCAAATGAATATGTCATCCACTTTACTGGTTTCATCTCAAATCTAATGCTTCTTAGTAATGCTTCCCGTAAATCTAAGTCAGATCAAAGATTTTATGGATCCAAAAATCATGTTTTGGTGATGTCCCAAATGGAATGGGAACAGGGTTTTGACTAATGGTACGACAGTTTGCAGAAAAGTGTGGATCATAAAAAAAAATATTTTCAAAAATAATTAATTTATTTTCAATGACAAACTACTTTTTATTTTATACTATATAAATATTGACTTGTTTATTGTTGAAATTCAAAAATATATTATCTCTTCTTATGATACATTTTATATGATACATTATATATATGATAACTATAATCAGTTACCTCTTTTAAGATTTGGCGTTCTTGGATGAGATTTATGTGCAGTTCCACAAATTAACCAAAAAAAAAAAAAAATGAAAGAACATATTTTAGTTTAATATTTAATTTAATATTAATAATATATACAATAATATACATATACAATTTAATATATATTAAGTTTGTAGTGATGCATAAAGCACAAATTTTTCAAATACACTATAATAATTAGCCAATATTTTTAACTAACTCTATATGAAGAGATTGCGAACATATACAGATATTTTCGAAGACCAAGTATTAGCAATTATGTGCATTTATTAGGTTAACAGTTCTATGTATTTACCAGTTTAGTACCGTTCGGTTTTCGTAATTTCCAAAAAAGCATTCGATTTGGCAGCACAGCATATATATTTAAAGAAACTGTCATCCAAGGCGTCATATATTTAGTTTGCCAGTTTACAACATAAATTCTTTAACAACCGCTGAACATGTACGTACATATTGTGTAAATTTACTAGAAAAACTGTGACGATTGCTTGCAATGAAGGTTACACGATAAGTCAGCAGTAGACATTTTATATGCGGTAATCTCAAAGATCAAGTTTAAACAGTCAATTCCCAACTCTTGACAATTTGAAAATGGTCATTTGTCAAGCTATGGTTGAACTTCTCCCAGCTATGTGCCTACAAGCCATCAGTAACTATTATTAAGATTATTAAAAGTATGCATATCTGGAGCCGGATAGTAATCGAACGGTAAAGATTTGCAGTGAACTCCATAAGATAGCCGTACCAATTAAATAAAAACCTAAAAATAAACTATGTTTTTAACGCTCAAAAGAAAAACGAATAATTGCGATATTTGCCTGCTGACCAAAAATCTCTAAAGGGGCCTTGCAGCCTCTAAAACTCTATATAGCATTTGGACGAATTTCATCATCATTATAATCATATGGTCTTTGTTGTCTATACTAAAAATGCCATATAAGAGAAATAATCTTAAGCTTTTATATATATAGATATATATATATATATATTTAATTTTAAACCACATGATATAAAACGTTCTGATATATATATATCATTATACTCTAAGCAATTAATGTGGTTGAAATGTTATTCGCATTTCAAAGCTCGTTTGTCGAAATTTCTTTTATTATTTTTTTTTAAAATCCACTAGGTTTTCTATCAATTAAAATTTTTTTAGAACACAAATCAAGTGCTTTTTGCAGTCCATTAATTCTCAATTCAATTAAAAATCATTTCTGTCTCAGTGAGGTTTAAAAATGTCAATGCGGCTAAACTCCATTATTTTGCTAGAGGCAAAGGGATAACATGTAAAATATTGTCATATTTATGTCATGCCGTAGGGGTATGGGTAATTTCAGTAATTTCTATCATGGATATGAGAGTATATGGCTATAGATGCTCATTACTTATTATCTCTAGTCTAAAAAATAATATTCTTTAATGTAAATAGCAAATCTGTATTGAATTTAGATAATAAGTACACAATATAATATCATCATGCGTACTTATCAGTTACAAATCAAATCTACTATGGTATTTCAGGACACTGTATGTTTTGGTAAACCGAACAAATATATTTTAAGGTTTCACCGGATTATCGATATTCGGAATTATCGGTGGCTATCGATGGATATTGTTGTATCTTCGGCTAAATTACCAGATGCGAGTATAACAATCGAGTTGATGTTTTTGCGCGCACTCGCTTGTGAAAGAACGGGCTTTTAATAATATTTGCTAATCTCTTAGGACTTGTCACCTATCTCAAACCTTACTTGAAATTAAATAAAAGTTGATACTTCAATTTGTCCAATTTTATTTTGCCAAGAGTTTAACTTATAAAATAATGATTCTCTATGTATTATTGTACATACAAAAGATTTTTTGCTGTTTTTTTTTTTTGTGTCCTTAAATTCTAATAAAATTATTTGTGCTTAAATAATAATTAACGATATTGTAAACATTTTTGATGCAACTGAGATTCTAGTTTTGAAATATAAAAAGTATTAAAGTAAAAAATGTTATAAAA